CGTTTGACACCACACACGGTGGAGAGCCAGGGTAAAGTTAAATTAATGCTTGAAAAATTGAATGAATGTGAAGTAAGCAATAACTAAGAAAAACGAATCGTTTAAAAACAAAAATTTATTGTGTCAAGAAAGTGTAAATTATAATGTATGTAGAAAGATACTGATACTTATTCCTTCCAGATGCTGGAAGGAAAGACCAAGATTGATTGATGAAGTCCAGGAAAATTTGCTGTAAGAAGAGAGAGTTTAAACGAGCAACAGAATACAATTTGTTACATAAGAATTTTTTTGTGTAAACGAGGTTCTCGCCAGTTAGTTCAGAATTAGAGAAAAAACTTACAACAGGTCGTTTGTAGGACCTGCTTCCAAGTTTTCCAAATTCTGGCAGCGGCAAATGTAGGGTTTATATTTATTTTAACTAACATTTATTTTAAGTTTAAACTATCTTTCCTGTCAAGCCTTACTTTCCCCTGGAACTGCCAATGCCAGAATATGTAAATTTGAGTAGAACGCGCAAGGATTCAAATTATCAGCGGAAGTATTCTGATTTAAATAGAAGGAAACAAGTTCGGTTGTGATTTCTTACTTAGCGAGCGCGGAGGTAGTTAGTAGCGAGAATTGAAGAACCCCGCGTTGCGGCCTATGTGCTTGGCGGGAAGTAGTGTTAATCGTTCCAGTGAGCTTCAAGTCTGCTGAATTAGCAGCGCGGTATTGTAAAACGCGGTGAGTTAGTTATTTTTTTAGAGAACCTCGTAGTTAGAATCTTGTCTTTAGTTTCTTTTCAGGTTATTATTTTTATTTGACTGCCGAGTTGGCACCGTCTGTAAGCGTCAAGAGAACGCAATTGTAATTTATTACGTTGAATAAAAAGGGACTTAAACCCTTTACAAGACTCTGTGTTTTATACAGTTTCCACAGTCACCCCTTGGTTGCGTGCAAGTTAGAGGCGCGCAACGTTATAATTAAAACTTGAAATTTAGGCTCATGACATAAGTATGTAATGGGCTAATATAATACAAAGATTTAAATGTTGAAAACATCCGTGTTATGTTTCTGCCGCTCAGTGAACAAGCCTTATCCAACTAGTGAATGGGGGAATTATCCAGAATATAGAGATGAAATATTGATGCCTTTTTATGCATCTATGTGTGAACTTTGAAAGTAGTGTCTACACTTTTCAGAAATTCACAGTTGGTGTGTGGCCTATAGTCATGTTCATTGATGACGAGTCAAGTGACAATTTTTTTTTTAAACACATCTGGTACTCATATCGAATATCTTATATTTACTAATTCAGAAGTCAAACAACAAAAATCAGCGTCATATTTTCAAATTTTCACAGGACTAGTTTCGATGGTTTTACCAAACCACCATCGACTAGTCCTGTGAAAATATAACGCTAATTTTTGTTGTTTGACTTCTGAATTAGTATTTGTTTGGCGTGTTATTGTGTCTTAATCTTAGATTTATTTACAAATTTGGAGAAGATTAAGCATTAATGGAGATACCAGCTTAAATGGATGTAAAAAATGTACACAACTGTATACACAGCAAATTTTTAAAACCAAAACAACAATCTTGTAAGCAGGCACATATTCAAAGTTATATGCCATCATATTAAAAAAAATTCATACATTTCATGCCATAATAAATGAGGTAATTTTAAAATGTTGCTTAATTTTGTTTTCTGAAACATAAAATCATGCTATGTTTTCTAATTTTAAATAATCTGTATAATTTTCAAAATTATTTATTTAATTGTGGCCGATAGATTAAAAACACTACTGACAAATTTTACAGTTGCAATATCTACGGATGGCATCACAAAACACGAGCAGATATATATATTAAATTAACCTAGATATGTTGATATCCTAGATGATTATTCTAACTGGATGTTGTCAGTATCTAGTATTTTATTACTTTTGTTTGTTCAGGAAACTAGTTATTTAGCAGCTGCATAATCTTTGTAGATTTAATTACTAGAAACTTTATGTTATGTTAGATGTAATGAAATTTGTGAATTAATGAACCAAATTATTAATTCTTTGCCTAATGTGTTATAGAGTGTAAATAACTATAATTAATATGGTTGCATTGTTTTTGACAAATATTTCTACAGTTTACAATATAATAATGCTTCCCCATAAAATAATCTAGTGCAATTTTTAGAAATCTGTAGTTCTTTTCGAAAAACTTGAAACTAAATCCTTTCTGCAAATATTTTGTAAAGGTTATGGAAACAAAATGAATTCTAGTGCATACATGATTATTTAGCGCAAATAGACAGAAGTATAGTACAGTAGAATTCCTTTTAATTGGCAGCAACAAGACTGTGCACAACAGATTTTTCTGTATAATTTAATATATATTTCTGCTCATGTTTTGCAACAATGCAACAGTATTAATTATAGTTATTTACACTCTATAACACATTAAGCAAAGACTTAATAATTTGGTTCATTAATTCAGAAATTTCATTACATCTAACATAACATAAAGCTACCAGTAACTAAATCTACAAAGATCATACAAGAGCAGCTAAATAATTAATTTCAAGAACAGATAAAAGTAATAAAATGCTAGATACCAACACATTCCCTCCCCCAAATATTCTGCCACAATACTATTCAGATATGAAACACACTGGTTGGCATAAATAAGAAAAACTCAGAATTTCAAGCCAAGTGAAAAACTATGCAAAAGACTTTTATGAAATTTGGTGAAAATTTTGTTGCCATTTTTTTAAATGACATGAATATAATTATATGAAAAATATTATATCAGAAATACATGCTTACAAGAGATTGTTCAAAATGAAGTAACATGCGTATAAATGTGTTCATCTATAACAGAAATGAAGAATTAGTAGCAATATCTCAGACTGAAGTAATGAGCATTGTCCTTTTAAAGCAGTTATAGGCTCTCATACCATTACTGTTTTGAAACAGTAATCAAATCATTCATTACAACAGCATTCATACAGGTTTAATCTAATTCATAATTTGTAACCAAGGTGGCTGGTGCAAATTCATTATTTTTACTCAACATGTTCAGACTGGAGTCAATAAGTATTACATTCATGCAGCACAAGTTTTTTTTTTAAATAAGAAATCTAACATGTTTACAATGATTTATTGGTTCTGGCCAACTTACTGTATTATATTGCCCATTAAGCTGCACAAATCATAAATCATAACTTGGTGAGACATGGCTAAACAGCGTGAAAAAATTGTTTTCTGCACAAGTTAATATTAAAAATTACCCAGTGCTGATCTTTAATGCAGTATCCACCAATTATGACTGTACATGCAAAATATGTAATATATGCAAATTTCTGCATATATATTTGAATTTTAAAAACAGGTTAAATTACTTATTAATCTCTATTGTTGCACTAATGTCTGAAATTTCTGGATTTACTTTAATTTTTCTACTAATAATGCACTGTTTCTTAACTACGCAGCAATATATAATTTCAAAATTTCTGCAACTACAAACAATACTGGAAAATAAATCTCTTATATCATATACATTATTGAATATAATTTATCAATAAACTCATGGCAGAAAAGTTCTTTGATGTTATTTGCAATCATATCGAAATATTCATCACAGATTTATTAATGGGTAGGGCAAATTAGCAATAAAAGGTTGTCACTTCAAAGTTAACAGTAATCACTATTTTTTTTTTTTTTTCAAGTTTAACATTGTTTCCAAGCTACACAAAAGAAAAGAAACAAGTATTAAAAGAATGCAGTGCATAAATAATTAGGACAGTTTTGTAATATAAATAGAATAATTTCATGTAATAAAAAATTTTAAAAGAAAGCACACTTTTAAAATACAGTACATGAACGTACTAATTTCACTACAAAAACAAAATTAAGAATTCATGTCTCTACACTCTAGTACAAAATCTGGACTCGTCAAGACTTTGGAAGTTTTGGATTTGGTATTTTTTCAGATATTACATCTATTAAATAATAATCCACCAGATATTACATTTCATACATACATGGAAGTTTCAGATCTGGGATTTTTTCAGATTATCATTAGCTTAAATCCAGTAAGATGATATGTAAAAATTATAAAATTAAAAACATGAAATAGTAGTTTATGAAAAACTGAATCTTTAAGGGAATTAAAATTTTCAAGAAAAGCTCCATATTTAGTTGTTTGCTTTATTACATATTTCTATCAATGTAATTTGTTTCTTGAGCTAATACTTTCTCTTTAATTCTACAGATGGACATAACTTTTTGTTCAGTTACAAAGTTCCATTGTTCAAGTTCTATAATCGCAGTGCTCAGAATTCCCTTAAATTGCCAATCAAAAGTTTTTCATTATCAACAAACTCATTATGACTTTCTTCATTATCAGTAGCAATATTTTCTGGATTTAGGACCCTGCTACAAATTTTGCCATTCATAAGTTGGGACAATTTCATCACAATGAAAAACTTCTATAATAATCTAATAATATCATTGTCAGTTATTATCCTTTGTCCACAAATTCCAATAATTGGAAAACTTTGCCTTTTATTTGCGATATCCAAAAATCTTCAAATTTGCAGCTATCATCATAATGCTTAGTGAGCGTTACATTGTTGGTGCTGGGTTCAGCTAAATTTTATCTTGCTTTTATCACATGCTGAGAAAGTTAAGCCTGAATTGTATTAGTTCAGGTGGTGTCAGATTGTTGTCCATCACATTTCACATTTTTTTTGGGGAAAAGGGTCACTAAAAGGATTATTAAGATTTTTGGTATGGAAAAGGTAAAATAAATAAGTAGACTGTGCCTTTACTGGGATTTGAAATATGGATCTTTCAGTCGTTAGCTGGTTGTGCTAATAATTTACAGCACAGGAGCATTAGATGGAAAAATGTGATAATTCCTCTAATGGATATTTCTATGTTTTTAAAAAACCAGATAATAATTTTCCAAACAAATTAAACAAGATAAACATATGGTTTAATTAAAAGAAATAGTCTATATACCAAGATTTATAGTCATAGTTGCTGGAGTAGTAGGTGGACGTGAACTAATTATATGCTTAGCCTGCTCTGTGGACAAAATGACAGATGTTCTTGGATACCTGAAATTAAAATTACAATGTTTCAAATAACTAAAAATGCAAATATTTCTGACATATTGCCAAACGTAGAAGTTGCATTCTATTTTATTTAAAAAATATACAAACTGATATTGGCTTAATTTAAAATATCATTTTCACATGTCATGATACAGAAAATGGGTAGTTTTATAAATCATTACTGTAAATTTTCTCAAAATGAATTATAATTTAAGGTAATGGTTATTTTTATTTATTTATTTTTGCAGATTAATACTTTATTACAGTTTATTAGTAATTTTCAACTATTTTTATATTCCTACAATTCTTAGGCAAGTGGATAAGAAGTTAGAACATGTTACTTTCAGTCAATGATTTACAGTTTTTTGACAATTCAATAAATTTTCAATAGCAATTTCAATGAAAAATTTTCATGTCATGATATAAGAATATTAAAACAACATTTATGTGATTAGCATGGGATTTAACACTAGCACATAAACAACCAACAATTAGATAAAAGGCATGCACTTTTACATTATTTGATGGAAACAAAATGAAAATTAACAGAAATCCAACACAAGATATATACTGGTGAGGGGACATTTCAAGGATATTATACTGCACAGAAAACAAAGATAAAAGAAAGTCTAAAGTATACATGAAATTGTAATACTAAGTGATACTAAAACAGAAATTACAACAACATAATATACTTGATAAATACATTACAATTGAAAAGCAACTATAGTACATAACAGAAATAAAGAACTCAACATCCAGAATTCTCAGGAAGCTTTATTTAAATTTCAGCTCCAGTCAAAGGCTATAGAAGCTGGAAAAAAGTACGCCCACCAGCGGCCGAGCGGTAAAGACGCTGAACACTGGTAGTTCGGTCCGAGGTTCGAATCCCGCGAACGGGCTGGCTGCATGGGCGTTTTCGTGGTTTTCCCCATGTGTAACGTGTATACGAGCCAGTTTCCCTTAGAAAGTCCTCCACGAAAGGCATCCCTCCCCTTAGGCAGATAGCCCTAGTGTGCTTTGCCATAATTAAATACACCACACCACTGGAAAAAAGTACCTTGTGACATAAAGGTAGATTACATGTACCATTTCAGAAACATTTTAATAATGTTATTTACATACTTGTATACATACTGGCTTGAAATACAAACCTTTTAGTTACTCCATTGTCAAGCTCAACCTCATAGCCAACTTTGTTGCCTTCCCTAAAATGTCCACATACTTTTCCAGGATCATAAAATCCATCAGCTGATAGAACAAGTACAGAGGTTCCAAGCTGCAACATGGCAAGTTTAATTAAATTTTCCTGAGGAATGGTTCGTAGGTCACCATCATCAAAGAGAACTGCCCATCTATGGAAATAATTATTTACAGTTATAACAATCTTATTCAATTACCAAACAGTTTAAAGAAGAATACAGTGGATTATTTTTTAAAACAAATAAATATTCCAGAGTTATAAAGATTTTTCTAGTAATATACTGTATAGTAATTTCAACATACCTGCCTTCTAATTCTTGACTCTTAACTGTTCCAGGATAGTAATATCCATCTTTCCACCGTGCCATAACCCTCACACCTATAAGAAGATGAAAAAGGATTTCTAAATATTGCATAAATGTTATAATAAAAAATGACACATATTTGCACTGCTTAATTTTATTAGAAAAATCTACAATTATAATCTAAAGTGCTCCAACTGTGAGAAGGTCTGGGAGCTCTCAGATCAAAAACAATATTTTAAATCTTTTCTTATTTTTTACCTGCATTACATCAATTTATAAACATTATTAGCAGTCTTAGATGAAAAAAGACATCTCAGTTATTACACTAATCTACAGGTCTTTCAGTGACATATTCGTTAACCAGGCAGCAATACACATCGCTATTAGAGAACGTAATTGTGGCTCTGAAAGCACATTAGTGCCTTCCTCGCACAATCTTTATGCATTAATGTAATTCCTCCACACATTGCACAGTGTGCTATGAATGTTCTTAAATGTCATTTTACAGAAGAACATGTGATCAACTGGCACCTTTCATCATATGTGGCCCTCCCCTATCCCCAGACCTTAGTTTATGTGATGTTTTGCATTCAGGGCATTTGAAACATTTTGTAAGTCCTGGTAATCCAAGAACCTTACCTGATCTTACAGCCAGCATTTCAAGCATTTTCTAGCACATACTTATAGCACATGGTCAACTGTGGAACACGCCATGTTGTAATTTCAGATGGTAGCCATGGTATGCCATCATGTGAAATATATTTTGTTGCAGTAACATTTGCAAAATTTTAAAACTATTGAAGGTGAAGTTTAATGCATAATTTCTTAATTCAATGTCCTCTGGTGGTGGTATATGTAATTAATTTTTCCCCCAACTGAAAAACAGTCCACTCCCTTCATTAAGTCTGCCGCAATATTTCCCATCTTTCTAATGACTGGTTTTGTCTGCAGATAGCTTTGAAATAGGGTTCATTAATTTGAGACACCCTATATTACAGTATACTCATTACAAAGTGATTAAGATATTCTTCAGGCAGACTGCTCTATTTAGCCTTTAGAACATGGATTCGACCTCGCTCGTTTTCTGATAAAGCAATCTGCAGTTTATCTCCTCATTATATATCTCCATAGGGCTCAATAGACATCTCACTCACTAGGAGATTTTCCACTGCTCTTGTCTGGTATGAAATGGCATTATCATTCATATAAAGAAATGCTGCACCAGTGGCTCCATCGGTGTTAAGTGGGCAGAGTATTCAATTGCCTTATGAAACTCATATTACACCTACGAATGCAAAATAAAACAACTTTTCCTGCAAAACTATTCTCCCAAAATGACAAAATATTTTAAATTGCAGGTTTCTGCATGCAGCATTTGATATCATATTGACAACAGGGGAAAAAAAATTCATTTCATTTAATGATTAATTCTCAGTGGAGAACAAGAAATTCTCAGAGAAGAAATTCAAGAAATTCATGCTACTTTTATTGATTTCAAACTCCACTGCAACAAGCAACACAAAGGCTTCTTCCATTTTTTCTAAAATCCTTTCCTGGCAAAATCATCAAGATGACATCTTCAAAGTGAAAATTTTACATTTATAGATTTATTCTTTGATATTCTGAATTTGTGATTAATGCAGTTCATTGTTAAAACTAAATTCCTTTCCTCCTTTTTCACATAATCTCTAAACACAAGAATGAGAAATTTGCATATTCAGTAGTGGTCTGCAACAAGTAATTTAATTATGCAAATCAAACATTTTATCTGATTTTGCAGAAATAATATTGCACAAAGATGTACATCCTTAAGTTTTGGATACGAGGGTATATTAATCACATACTTTATTTGCTTAACCCTGCTCCAGCCCTCAAAATTCTCTAAAATGCTATATGAAAGAGAGAGGGGTTTTTATTTTAAAATTATAATCCTAAAATACCACTGTTAATTTATACTTGCACTCATTTTACTTCCTTGTATGAGAAGTAAAAAGGAAGTATTGCAATCGCGAAAATTTCAGGCATCATATTTCATCGAAAATATTTATTTTGACCGTTATCGAATGCAATTTAATTATTTTGCGCGACATCCGTACACAAGTACAGAATAAAGCACTCCCCCCCCAGAAAAAATAACAAAACTGATTTAAAATAAATTTTGAAGAGAATTTTTCATGGCGTCTGTGCGTATGTATCTCGCATAACTCAAAAACAACTAGCCTCAGAACGTTGAAATTTTGTAACATGTAGATGTGCACCTCGCATTTTGGTTGCAATCGGCTGCATACCAAAAGTATATAAATATACTTTTGGTGCAGCCGATTGCAACCAAAAAGTATATAAATGTTTTTTAAAATATCTGTACGTAAGGACAGAATAAAATACTCTTTTCCACCAAAAAAAAATTATAAAACTGCTTTAAAATTAATTCTGAAGAGAATTTTCCATGGCGTCTGTACGAACATATGTGTGTATGTACGTATCTCACATAACTCAAAAACGAGTAGCCTCAGAACGTTGAAATTTTGTATATAGGACTGCTATAACATGTAGATGTGCACCCCGTATTTTGGTTGCAATCGGTCGCACCAAACATATATAAATATATTTATATATATATCCACTTTGTTACTCGGCCCAGTGATCTCAGATTCTTTATTCTTATGTGTTTGTAAATTGTGGATTTTTTGGTTTAAAAATGATTTAATTATGTTTTTCTAGTTAAGAGTTTTATGCCTTTAGTTAGCCTGCATGTTATAATTGTGGAATTATCAGCAATTTAAAAGTTTAAGTGTGGATAAGACTAATTTTTGATTACCATGGCTACCATGTTTGTTTACATTTGAAAAGTAGTAGAATAGTGAATTTGTTGCCAATCTAGAGAAACTAAGCGTCGCAACAACAATGTAACGTCTTCTTTTATTACTGCGAATTAAATTACGCTTAATTAATAGTGTAATTATCATTAATTTATTAGCTTGTTTTTGCATTGAAACTGTAATTTTAATTGTAAAAATTGCTTTTTTTAATTGTTTTAACTGTACTTGGTGTTCCATGTTTTTCTATAACTTTCAAACTTTAATGAAAATATTTTGAATTTTTATGTATTTTTGCCTTGCCGTGAACTGACAGCTCAATTAATTAGTAGCGCATGCACATTAGGTAAGAGACTTTGAATCGTTTGCGAAAAACTGTTTCTTCTTTATTTATTTAATTTCTTTTATATATTTTTTTAGATTTATGATAGTATTTGACTAGAACTTGTGGTAATTCTTCAACTCTGAGTTATAAAATGAATGAAATGTAATGCTATTAAGTGTACCTAGTGCCGAAGTGTCGCTATGGTAAATAAATATAGTGAACTTTAAAGACATACTGCTGTAATTGCTTGGATACATTTTGAGATACACATATATATAGTCACTTATATATGTTAGGGAAATTACGTTATTATGTGCTTTACCAGTTGGAAGTTAAATAAACAAAATGTATATAACACATAAAATGATTCAATAAATACATTTAATGAAAGAAATACTGCAACTGGTAACATTAAAGAGTGTATATATTCTATTGTGGTTTATGTAATACTCACGAAGTAGATTTAATTCAACATTCTTTACCTGTTAATTCAATATGTTTTATATAATTCAATATATTCCATACAAGGAAGTCATGTGGTGTACACATCAGATATTTTTTCTTTGAACATACTGCTGTAATTGGTTGGATACATTTTGAGATACACATATATATAGTCACTTATATATGTTAGGGAAATTATGTTATTATGTGCTTTACCAGTTGGAAGTTAAATAAACAAAATGTATATAACACATAAAATGATTCACTAAATAAATACATTTAATGAAAGAAATACTGCAACTGGTAACATTAAAATGCTAAAAATAAAATTAAAAAAAAAAAAAAAAAAAAAAAAAAAAAAAAAAAAAAAAAAAAAAGCATTTCAAAAGAAAAATATTTTTTTTTTTTTTTTTTTTTAAATATGAAGTTGCGTAGTAGTTATGTCATGTTTTAAATAATATGAAGGGGCAGGGAAAACTGGTGAAGAATATAATATGTCACAAATGGGGAAAAAGTTATATATTTTAAAAATATACAACACAATTTTCGCTTTCATGGTGAGCAATTTAATTTCCTATGAACCACTACTTCGTCCCCCCTTGCGGTAATTTGTTTTAGTTTAGTACAGTCAAAAGTCTTTAATCCGGACTCGTCGGGACTTCGACGATTCCGGATTATCGATTTTTCCGGATTACAGATCATAAGTTTAAATCTGGTAAGATGGCATGCAGAAATTATAAAATTAAAAATATGAAACCGTAATTTATAAAATAATGAGCAATTAATGATCTAAAGGGTATCAAAATTTACAAAAAAAGAAGCTTAATATTTATTTGTTTACTTTATTAAACATTTCTTTCAACGCGCGCATGCGTAAAGCATACCCTACGCATAGCCGGAATTAGAAAATTGCAACCAGAAAACTATTTGATTTGTATTCGTGATATTTATAATGACGAGAAATTTGATTTAAATCATATCAAAGACGGAGTACATCGAGATTAAATACTACATTTAATAAGGAATTATAAGCCGAATAAAATAAAAACATCTGCCCTAATGATAACGACAGTGCTGACAGATCAACTTACAGTTCATAGTGCGCTGCGACGTCTCCCCCCCCCTGCGCAGAGCAGTGTGAAATTGATAAACAGATGTCGGAACGGTTAGATAAACAAAGGATATGCCTTTATCCATTTTTTTATAGCAATTCGTTTTTTGTTTGATGGACATCGAAGCATACTTTCGTTTTCTAGATCCTTTGGGAGCTCCAGCATCCGGAATTCTATTTGACATCATTGAAAGTTCAAGCTTACTTTTATAAAATTGCTCTTACAGTCTGCAAAAAATAATAAGCCGGATCCAATTCGAAGATTAAGGAACAATGCAATCATCAACATTAACTGAAATAGATAATTATATAATTTTAGCTTATACCGTCCGTTTTACATTAAACGTGCACGCGAAAATGTATTCTGCGCTTGCGCAGACACATATGCGCAGTCGTAAATGTCTTGCGTGCACGCGTAAAACGCCTATGCGCATGCGTCAACGCATCGCATGCACAGAAAGATTTTAGCTTTGAGGTCCAGATTATAGATCATTCCGGATTATGGGTGTCCAAATTAACGACTTTTGACTGTATTTCTCTTTAAGCTTGATACACTTTATTAAAAGTTATGTTCAAGTTAGCAGTTGTAATCAAAAAAGGTCCAGGCAGTCCAAATTTATACTCATCTACTTTAGAATTCCTCATAATTGTTGGTACAGTTAAAGCATGTATATTTGGAAAGACGAAATCAGGATATGTAAAAATTTTGGAGCGTATAAATCTCTGTGTATAAAAAATGCATGGAAGAATAAAGTTTCTTAAAAACATGTAAAAAAGTTAGAAAATGAAAACACCCACATTTAAATCATGTAAGACTTTAAAAGTAAAAAGGGCATTTCAGATATAAATGCTGAAGTAAAATATTATATTGGATTATAAAATTCTATTGACTACGAAAAAACTGCAGAAGACTTAGCTAAACTTGCACCTGTCATTCTGGTTTGAAGTAACAGATCACTATTTAGTTAGTTAGATATATAATATATACAAGCTATGGCCATAATACATAAAAAAATTAAATCACTTGTCATTATTTTTTGTTTCACACCAGCGTTTATCCATTTTCACATGCCTAACTTTTCTTGATGATTCTTTCAATTTTGAAAATACTCTAATGCAAGCCGTTCTGCTGAAGACAAGTCCAAAACTTTTATCACTTTGTGAAAATTCGATTGAAACACGGATATATAACAGTTATCTTATATCATTTCTTATACGAGGGTTGGAACTTTAATAGTGGCAACTATTTATTTACAAGGAATACAAAAGTGATTCATGTCACCATGTTTTACAGTACTTCAATATAGTCGCCAGCATTGTGTACAACCCGTTTCCAACAATGTGGAAGGTCGCAGAATACCTGTAGCAGCGCCTGTTTTGTTGATAGTTTGAATGGACCGGTCTACTGCCGCAAGAATCTCAGGAACAGTTTGGAAGCGAGTGCCACGAAATGGTTCCTTCATCTTAGGAATTAAGTCATAGTCACAAGGGCTTAGAGATTTGGGGAGTATGGTGGATGGTAAAGCACTTCCCAGTCCCATCGCTTGAACAAATCAGTCACAGCTTGCGCTGCATGTGGCCGAGCATTGTCATGCAAAATGAGAGGAGCGTTCTGCAGAAAGTGTCGCCGTTTTTTTCTCAAAGCTAGTCGGAGATTTTGCTCCAAAAATGAGCAGTCATACTGCGTAGTGACGGTCTGCTGTGGAGGAACGGTATACGTTAGGATGACACCATCACAGTCGTACACGAGAATCACCATAACTTTCACATTGCTGGGGTTCTGACGAAATTTCGAACGTTGTGGTGACCCGTGATGATGCCATTCGTTTGATTGGCGTTTCATTTCTGGCAGGTACGATCGGGCCCAAGTCTCATCTAGTGTAATGATACGGCGTAAAAAAGCATCTCCTTCGCGCTCATAGCGCTCCAGGTGGGTTCGGGCAGCATCATATCGTAGTCATTTCTGCATTTCCGTCAATTGGTGTGGAATCCATCGTGAAGCAATTTTTCTCATGGACAGGTGTTCCTTCAGAATGTGCTGCACAGTCGTATGCGCTAATCCTGTTTGTCCGGCCAGCCGACGAATCATTTGGCGGCGATCACTGTCCATTAGTGCGGCAAAAGCTTGCACGTCTGCATGGCTGACACTCGGACGACCTGGCTGCAGCATGTCTGTCATGTTTTGGCATCCTTCATTGAATGCTTTCACCCATCTTGCTACGGTTCTGTAAGGCAATGCAGATTCCCCGCAAGCCTCTTGAAGTCCTTGATGACACTGTCGTGCTGTATGACCTCTGGCACATTCAATTTTTATCCAACATCGTTGTTCTTGTTTTGAAAACATCCTGGCAACATTTACTTTGGCCCGCAAGCTAATACAAGGAACCGTTCTTCGCGTCACTCCGCATGCACGTGACGTAGGCAGGACGAGTCTTTTTGCTGAGAGGTAAGGTAGGTATGTAGTTCACATGTGGTATACGCGATATTCTTTGGTTTTGTTGCATAGAATTTTTTCAGCTGTGTTGCCACTATTAAAGTTCCAACCCTCGTAAACACTAAACCAACTTAAAGATAATTAATCGGGTTTACATAAAGCCAAACCGTTACACCATGATTATCCATAACTGCACTAAATCATACTGTTTAGCAACAATTTTCATTTGACTCAATTGTAGTCCCATTTGTACTTTATAATGGAATTACAAATCTTTTAGTTGCTAAATTTTATGTTAAAAGACAATTCTAACATTTGAAAATATTATGGTTACTTTATGCCAGATAACTGGGCATTTGCTATAATTTAGTCAAACTCGACATATCATATTACACATTTCTAAAATTTAACTGGTGAGTCATCATTTTGCTATGTCGGTCATTACTCATAAGCATCCTGCCTCATACATTCATCTGAAACATTAATAATATATGCTGATTCTTCCTTTGTACTTAGAATTTAACATGGTAATTTTTCTTATTATTATTATACAATTTTATTGATTTAAACATAATATAACTATGACTGCATCATCCCATACTAGATATAGAAATATTACCTGGTATAATATTTCCAAAATGGGATTCTTCATAAGCACCCCCACCATCTTCAGCAATCTGAATTTCTTCAACATCAGAACTGAAAGACAGAATAAGTTTTCAAGATATTTATAACATTTACCTAAAACTAGTTTAAAAAGGTACAAATACATAAACTGATTAAAATGATACACATGTACAAATTAAAAGATTTCTTAAATCAATCAATTATTCACATATTAGATAAAAATGCTAAGTATGAAAATTTCCTGGAAGTAATTAATTAGTCACATCTGCTTTACATATTCTGTGCTATCTCCAGCAGATGGCACCAACTCACTGATTTAAATAAATTTTTCGAACATAAATAGTTGTAAAATTTAAATATAGAAATTTGATCCCCAAACATTAAATGATAAAAATTATTTTACCCCTATTATTAGAAATAATTTCAGAAAGCAAAAAGTACTATTCCAAGGAAATTGGTCTATACTTACAATATATAAAAGGAGAAACCACAGACCCCCTCCCTACAGCTCATTGTTAATAACAGAATACAAGTGATGTGAATTATTATAGTTTAACATTTCAAACACTAAGTTATTGATATGCCTGTCACTGACAAAACATTCTCATTAATACTGAAAATGTACGTACATTTTAAAACAATAATTTAATAACAGTATAGGCTTTTTCTGAAATTTAAAATAAATAGGACTTAATATTTAAATGAGAATTCAATATGTTATTTCTTTGAAATGATAATATCAGTAGCAGAAAATTTTATTATTATGTAAAGCTGAATAATAAGTACATGGCAGCTAAAATAAGGCAAAGTGTTAAAACAGGTTTATACAGTCAAAAGTCATTAATTCGAACGCCCATAATCCGGACCTCAAAGCTACAAACTTTCTGTGCATGCGCCGCGTTCACGCATGCGCACAGGCGTTTACAAGAGCGCGTAAGACCCTTAAGGCTGCGAATATGTTTGTGCGCATGCGCGTTTAATGTGTAACGGAGTTATATGCTAAGCTAAAGTTATCTAATTCAGTTAATGTTGCAGATTGCGTTGTTCCTTAATCTTCGAATTGGATCCAGCTTATTATTTTTTGCAGACTGTTAGAGCAATTTTATAAAAGTAAGCTTGAACTTTCGATTATGTCAGATAGAATTCCGATATATATATTACTACAAAGCGAAAGTATGTTTTGAAATCCGAAATTGTTTATCAATTTCACGCTGCTCTGCGGCAGAGGGGGGGGGGCAGAAACGTCATTATTAAATTATGATAGATTAGAAAGATTATGTCAAATAGAATTTCCGATATATATCTACTAATATGTAATTTGTATCTACAAAGCGAAAGTATGTTTTGAAATCCGAAATTTGTTTATCAATTTCACGTCGCGGATTGGAAGTTGATCTCTCAGCACTATCCTTATCTTCAGGGCAGATGTTTTTATTTTATTTGGTTTATAATTCCGTACTAAGTGCAGTATTTCATCTCGATGTACTCTGTCTTTGATATGATTTAAATCAAGTTCCTCGTCATTATAATTCGCTTCCGATAGTGAAGAAAGTGACCCAGTGGTTATTGAAAACGAAAACATTTCGATTGACAAATTAGTCGGTATTCTCAACACAGCAATTATAGGGACTTGAACAGCGGAATTTTTGTAACTAAACAAGAAATTATGTCTGTTTAATAGAATTAAAGAGAAAGTATTATCACATGAAACGAAGCAACTTACATTGAAGGAAAATGTTTTAATAAAGTAAACAAATAAATATTAAGCTTTTTCTTTTTGTAAATTTTGATACCCTTTAGATCATAATTGTTCTTTATTTCATAAATTACGGTTTCATATTTTTAATTTTGTAATTTCTGCATGCCATCTTACCAGATTTAAACTGATGATCTATAATCCGGAATCGCCGAAGTCCCGACGAGTCCGGATTAACGACTTTTGACTGTATAAAAGTGTTATAATAAAAAAATTTTCTGATTTAAGCAATAAAAGAAAGCACCAGGCCCACGCCAAGCCTAATCGACGCTGTCGTGCAAATGTCTAGAAAATGCCTTTATGCAGTGACACTTTTTGCTTATGGTTAACATTTAAAATGAAGTATTATTAACATAATAATATGGAAAACCAAAAAAATTACATTTTATCTTTTAATTTGTCTAAATGTGCAAACATTTTGCACTTTGTTAAAACTCAAACTCAAACATATTTATTGAAGAATTATATATATACATTTATATTATAAAAAGCCGCCCAACTTTAATAGTTGTTGGTGTTGCTAACTGCGGTGCTTAAGGGCTCAAGTTCGAATCTCGGAGAAGGCATGGAATGTTTACAAATGTATAGTGTCCGTACAGCATGGGGCACTTTTAATATGCGAGGCCACTTATAGTAAGCTTGGCGGTAAATGCAAAAGGGCTGGGAGTCACTCGGACTTGTACACCTGGATGCTCTTCATCAATATTGGGGGCGAAACTGAGCTAAAGCGCACTGTCACCTGTAAGGTGCTCAAGGCTGTTGCCAAGAACAGGCGTATCTTGCACTCCTTGCCACGAGAAATTTCGTGGACTTGGGCTGACTGTAGGTCAGACAAGTGAGCATTAGTCAACAACAACAACATGTTATAAAAACGTAACACTGCAAGCGAAGCAAAATTGGATACCAAATATATTGCTGAACACTAATTTTATTATCTTAAAATTAAAAACAAATTTATTTAGATATCTAATAAATTTGCCCTGAATAAAGTTGTTTGCAGCGTTGTTTATGACAAGGTTCAAACTATTCTTACAAAAGGGCACAAAAAAATTCTCTAGAGTTTGATATCTAGGGATATATCCAAAATACTCTTTTGCATGCCACCTATGTTGTTGACAGCGATATAGCTTAAGAGTTTCAACCGGCGATGCTATATTTCCTCCAAATGTTTGCAAAAACTGCAGTTCATGCATAAAATGTACTGTATTTATGCGCATCTAATGCGCCATCGAATCTAATGCGCATCCCCATTTTAAAACTTTAAATAATAACAAAATTGTTTGTTGGCGAATGTAATGCACATCAATGGTATGAGGAATTTATTGAATCTTATTTTATACAACAATGGATTTGTATATAAACTATCAATCAATGGTATGATAATTTTATTTAAATTTAGATACCATATTTTATACAACAATGGATTTATACATAAAGTAACAGAACATAGAATTAATCTATTAGTGGGCTATTGTTATGTGAAACAATCATCGTTAATTACCACTACCTTATATACGGTCCTTATATAAGTCCTTACTAAATGTAGTACAGTCAAAAGTCTTTAATCCGGACCTCAAAGCTACAAACTTTCTGTGCATGCATAAAAGCATATGCATTACGTAAAAGCAGTGCATATGCATTTACGAATGCACATAATACGTTTACGCATGTGCATTTAATATATAACGGACGGTATAAGCTTAGCTAAAATTATTTAATTATCTATTTCAGTTAATGTTTCAGATTGCAGTGTTCCTTAATCTTCAAATTGGATCCGGCTTATTATTTTTTGCAGATTGTTAGAGCAATTTCAAAAAATAAGCTTGAAATTTCGATCATGTCAAAAAGAATTTCCGATTCTGGAGCAGCCAAAGGATTTACAAAGCGAAAGCATGTTTCGATGTCCATCAAACAAAAAGTGGAATAGCTGCAAAAAATGGATAAAGGCATAGCCTTTGTTTCTCTAATCATTCCGAAACCTGTTTATCAATTTTACGCTGCTCTGCCGGGGGGGGGGGGAGACGTCGCGGCGCGCAATGAACTGGAAGTTGATCTGTCACCACTATCCTTATCTGAAGATTAGGCTTGAAGCTTGGGCAGATATTTTTATTTTAGTCGGCTTATGATTCCTTACTAAATGTAGCATTTCATTTCGATGTACTCCATCTTTGATATGGTTTAAATCAAATTCCCCGTCATTGTAAATATCCTGAATACACATCAAATAGTTTTCTGGTTGCAATTTTTTAATTCGACTATGCGTAATGTATGCTTACGCATGCCGTGTTGAGAAAGTTTAATAAAGTAAACAAATAAATATTAGCTTTTTTTTTTTTGGCAAATTTTTGATATCCTTTAGATCATAATTGCTCTTTATTTCATATTTTTAATTTTAGAATTTCTGCATGCCATCTTACTACCAGATTTAAATTGATGATCTATAATCCAGAATCGCCGAAGTCCCGATGAGTCCAGATTAAAGACCTTTGACTGTATAAAGCAAATTATTTTAAGTAAGGTCAAACATTTTTCGATTTTACTTGATTGTACCCCTGATGCCAGCCATCAAGAACAGTTATTAATTTGTGTGAAGTATCTTAATTTAGAAAATACAGACATGAGTATTGAAGAAAGGTTTTTAGTATTTTGTGTTTCAATAGATACGACAGGTGAATGACGAACAACATTCTTATTAAAGACTTTAGAGGAAAATTGTTTAGATATTAGTAAGTTATGCGGCCAAGAATACAACAATGGTTCAAACATGAGAGGTAAGCAGTTTTTGAGTAATTATGCTCAAATTGTTGCTTTTCCAAATTAAAATGTTTACCTAAGTTTAGCATAATATGTAACTGCCCTTAACAACTTTTTTTATGTAGAAAAACAATAACAACAAGCAATCACAAAAACGATAAATGTTGTACAAATTACTACAATTGCAACAGTAGACACAAAATAAGGATTAAGAAATCTGTCGAATGCGTCTACCCTTACATATACATCGGCATTACATATTTTCATGTTCAAATAAGACAGAAGAGAACAACTCTTGCCCTGGTTATAACTTTCAGTCAAATAAGACAGCATGCTAGCAGGAAGGGGCTTTCAGACCTGGAAAGCTCCAGTCTGCCTTAACAAAGTTTAAACGCCCCAACCCCTAGAGGCGATCTAAGAAGCCGCTAACCTATCAGTTGAGTAGACAAGCTAAGACTAAGGTGAATTTTCATGCTCAGACAGGCAGTGAGACGAGCTACTTGTCTCACTTAATGATTGCATGGCAGTTTTTTGACTCAGCGCATGCATGAGAAACAAACATTGATTGATGTGGAAACATGCTTGACAAAATGATGCAGATGCCACACAACATGGTAAGAATGTTATTTGATGACTGGGGATATAGAGCCATCATTTTGTTGATTACAAGTGCATATAATGGGAAAGGCTGTTGATTTAAGTAAATAATTATGACCAAGTTGCAATAGCTTAAAGCCTAGAAATGAGAACAGTACAAAGCCCAAAATCTGGATGTCTAGCATCTAGACCCCATGTCATCAATAAATAACAGCAAGAACAGAAATAATAATAATAATAATAATAATAATAAAAGAAATCTCTCCCTTACAAAATCTAGGAATGAAAAACATAGGAGGGAAACCAGAGTGCCCATAAATTGACTTTTTTCTTAACTAACTGAGATTTCTACACATCACTATCAAACACCTGCTGGCTAGGAAGTGACACTGTAGACAAAAACAATATACTGATTGCCATTGCACTGATATTGGCTAAGATCACACTTTTGGACCTTGAGTTACTGTGGATGGGGCTAGGTGGACACTACGTTTTCGTCGTCCTGTACTATCTCTGATGACATTAAATTCTGCTATCTGGTACCTCTCTAAACTCTAAAAATTTTGCCATCTCTAATTCTTGCTGCTCGAAACTCCCCTAAATTCTAAAATGTTTGTTGCCCAGTATGGTCATACAGGCTAGTCCTGTTGTAGAATTATCATTGTTTTATCTGACATAAACAATAAATAGAGCCATAATATTGCCATGCCTACACGCCATCTCACTATATTTAAAACTGATGATCTAAAATCTGTAATTCCAATGATTCGAGATCTTGAACCTGATACTGCATTTCCAAAATGGCACTGTTCACTGGGTATTTGTAAGCTATCATTATAGTGCCTATCTAATGTGGAAGAATAGTGAAACCAGTCCCAGACGTGAGACTCAAGGCTCGTCAATGAACGCAAATGTCTGAAACCTTTCTGTTTGGTGGAAGGCAAACAGGCAGCTGCTGGTGGCTCAGTTGATTATTGCAAACCATGCAGGTCTAAATATTACAGTATCGCAACACATAATTCAATACCACCAACTGTGTTAGACATGAGCTCAGCAGCAATCATGTTGATGGATGTGGCAGGGTACACTGTCTTTGACGTGAACACCTGATCCCTACATATACTATGAAACGTCAAGTGGCTGATGGCAGAGGTATTATACTTTGGAGAATGTTCTCATGGGCATCTGTCCCATTGAAGAATATTATTGAAGATCTTGATTCATTGTAATGAGTAAGATGTACAAAGTAAACAATAAAATTCTCAAAAAAGGGGGGGGGCAAAGGACAGCATTGTAGTTTTGATAATGCAAAAATATTCCTTAATTTGCTGGTTAAACAGATATTACACTAGCTTACATTTTGACAAGTTAAATTTTTAAAACTGGCAAACATTAAAGATACAGAAAACTGTGTATATTATGTAGTTTGAGATTAATATTATTACTACAGCCATTTGAGGATTTCTGGAAAAATATGAAGACAATACTTGAAAAAACTTATTTTTCAAGTATTGTCTTCATATTTTTTAGATCATCAATTTCATTTAGATCATCAATTTAAATCTGGTAGTAAGATGGCATGCAGAAATTCTAAAATTAAAAATATGAAATAAAGAGCAATTATGATCTAAAGGATATCAAAATTTGCAAAAAAAAAGCTTAATATTTATTTGTTTACTTTATTAAACATTTCTTTCAACACGTGCATGCGTAAAGCATACATTACGCATAGTCGAAATTAAAAAATTGCAACCAGAAAACTATTTGATGTGTATTCAGGATATTTACAATGACGGGGAATTTGATTTAAACCATATCAAAGATGGAGTACATCGAAATGAAATGCTACATTTAGTAAGGAATCATAAGCCGACTAAAATAAAAATATCCAAAATATCAGTACAGCTGTTAATAATTACATATACAAATATTTATCATTTTCATTAAAATAAGAATTTAACTCTTTAAATAAATTTATTCAAACATTATATATATGTGTGTGTTTGTGTGTTATGATTCTGGGAACATAGGAGAGGAATTAGCTTACAGTCGTCGTAGCTGAGAATGAAGGCTTACAGATGCAGATAAAAAAGCAAGAACTTTAAGAATTTCCAGTCTTTATTTTCACACATATAAAACCATCTCCACAAATGTTTATCCAAACATAATGAAACTCGATACATTTCTAAGATTCAATCGTAATGAAATATGATAAATTACTTCTTAAAATTAAGACGCAGGCATTTTAAACAGGCAAGCAAAGCAATGAGATATTAGCAAGGTGGGAGCTAGTAGAAGAAGTGATGTAATTAACTGCCAGGGATTTTTATACCAAAGTAGGTGCGATTCTAGAGATGAGGTATGATTGGTTAGTTATTAGTTTTGGTTACCCTTTTCAAGCAGCGTTACATAACATTGAAAAATTTCAAATTTGGGAGAGCAGATGAATTTAGGGGGAGATCACCAAATCTAAAATTTTGAAGTTGCCAATTATTTTTTAAAGCAGCTATTGTATTTTGTTATATCTTACATATATATATCTATATGTACAAAGTAATAAGCAGTTCAAAACTTAATCCTAATGCTGAAACCTAAAGTTGAAAGCAGCAATATGTGGTAGTAGCAATCCAAAATAAATTAAAACAGATACGTCTAAAATTTATCCCATATTCAAAAAATCAAAATCATAGTGGCAAACTGCACCAAAAGAAAAAATTGTCAAAACATACCAAAACCAAAAATGAAATAAGAAATTTACTTCTTTTGCTGCAGCATCATGTGCAACGAATGTAAAAGTTGAAAAGTATTTTCTTAACTTTTGTTGCTTAATAATTTTTTCATTTCAAAACTTTTGTTGCTCTAATGTTACAGATTTTAAGAACTTACTCCATATTTTACTTTTTTATTTTTATTTTAGGGATCAAACTTTCATTTGGTGGATTGCTTCTGTTTAAACATGATTTCTGGACACAGTTTGTTTAAATTTACAATTATTATTAGATTTTTAAGCTTTTTTACTTGTTTATGATTTTGATGCTACTATTCTTATAAAGAAAATGTTAACCTGGCCTATGGAGTTTCAAAATTTATGTATGTTCAGCAAATGTTTGATTGTTTGCATTTGCAGGATTTTTTTTTATTTTTTGACTCGGTCTATTGTAAATAATAATCAAAAAAATTGTTTATGTTTTTGATATTTGCATTTGTTTGCACTGCAGATTGATTTTTTATTTCTTTCATTGCACCAACTGCTGGTGATGATACAGTGAAAGATGTAAATTTATTATTTCATTTTTGGTTTTCATATCCTTTGGGCCCCCCTTCTTTTTGCAGTTTGCCACTGTGCTTCTGTTTTTTTTTTTTTTTTTTTAATCGCTTTCTTTTTTTTTTCCTGCATATGCTTATTCTGAACTGAATATGGGATGAATTTTAGATGTAATTTTTTAAAATTTATATTGCATCTCATACATATATGTGTGTGTCATTAGAATTAACAATGATATACAGTGCTTTCATTTACTGAAATTTGTTTTTTTTATACATTAGTATCTTGATAATTTTTTTAAAATAATACACAATGATAATATTTTAAGCATTCTGCTACAAAAACATGAAAGTAATTACATAACCATACAAACTTTAATGTTGTACTGCAGATAATTTTTAGCTATATTATAAGCAGGAAAAAATTTAAACCAAATATTTAATCTTTATATGTATGTAATATATGATACATTACTATAAAATAAAGATGCAAATTATTATGCAGAATTGTTTTTAAATAGTTCAATTTTTTAGGATGCAATCACTTTGTAAAATACTTATTACAGTTTCAACAAGGCTTCCAATTAGAAAACATATTAAGAATCTTGTGCCACATGAAATGGCACAAGATCATTAACATGTTTTCAGTATTTGATCATTAGTTTCTGTTGAGAACCTGTTATCTGCCAGGCAGTTTGGGATGGATAGATGACAAATTGTCTGATGATTTAACATAATGGCCTGGAAAAGTGAATTTTATATTAAACTTTATAATGTCAAAACACTTACCTTTCTTTAGCAGGCTGTAGTTTTGTGACAGGTTCTACAGTTTTAGACTTTTTTCTCCTTGGTAACTTCTTTGTTGTGCTTTCCTCATTTGAATCTGATTCTTTGAATTCTAAATCATTTGGAATATTTCCCCTTTTTCTTTTTACTGGCTTCATTCTTTTGCACTTGGTACCAGTAACTTCCACCTTTACATTCTTTTTTTCTCCTTTTTTACATTTTGAAGAAGCAGGAGCAGGAGCTTCAGCAGTTGGTTCGTGTACACTTCCTTTTATAGGAGATACAGGAATTTTGATAGAGCAAAGTTCAAAATCCATTTTACTTGCATCAGATGTTTTATCATCACCTTTGCCACGTCTTACAATGCCAGAAAAACTGTTCACATTGGCAGAATTTTGGGTAGAAGTTTTTTGAAAAGTCTCTACATTTGTTTCTTGTGAAGAAAAAATATGACTTGAGTGTGATGTGGTATCCATTTGTATTCCAGATGAGTTTGCTGACTTTGAAGATGAAGATGAGCTAACATCACCTATTTCTCCTGAATGAAGAGACATTTTTGTGGAAAATGTTGAAGAAGTTGTTGTTGAGCTACTGGATTGAGGAGATATTGCAATCAGATGTCGCTGCTGTTCATGAGGGTACTCCACCTGACAAAAGAATGGAAATTAAAAAATTAATTAATTAACAATTTAGGGAAATTTTTCAGCAATTTATACCCCATAATATAAACTGGAATTCATTACACCAATAGACTTTTGTTCATTCCCTTCAAAAATAATTAAAAAAAATTATAAAAAAATTATTAGAATGAAGTTTACATATTGCAATACTTTAAAAAGAGAGAGGAAAAGGAAAACTGATACAACTAATGCATACATAGCTTTTCTATACAATTTTTTGTTATAAAAGTCATTACTCAAGAATTATATACAATATATAATATATATATAAAATATAGAAAATACTTATATATATAAAATATACCAAAAATTATCAAAATTTAAGTTCATTCATACTTACAAAGACACTGCCAAATTATAAATGTAGTTTAACAGTGTTTGGAGGGAATTTTTCATGTTCTTTTGATAGATGTGTCTATTTTTTAAGATTGGTTTATCAACCACTATCTCGGTATCAGAAGTTAAGAGTTATTGATAATTTCATAACCAATAACAATGTTTTTTTTTATGAATCTGGAACTTTAGATTTTGAACATTAATTTTTTTGCCTCTGTACACTAACTTCCAATGGACGGCAGTGATTTAGCTTTTGATAGTGATACTTGATGTTCTTTAAACAGTTTCAGACCAATGAAGGTGTTTTTTTTAGGACTTTTACTTTTTTAGGACTTAATACTTGAATACAATCACAACCATAGCATACTTATACATAGAAATGGGAGGCATATGGAAGAATTTATTCTTTTCTTTCACACAGATTAAAAATTTTACATTTAATAGAGAAAGGTCTTTCCTTTTAACAGATGAAGTTATTTTGGAAAGACAAAATTTAATTTACAAGACATCAATAAATATCTGCATAATCTGAAAGCCTGATGGGCCATTTTTTGTATTAAAAAAGAGAGTGAATTTATGTATGTGTGTGCATAAATTGATTCTTTACTGCATACAGAGTGATAAAGCTGCGCAGATTCACAAGATGACATAATGGAGAAGAAAAACTTAGCAGATGTGATTGAAGATAATTAAACACAATTCACTTCTGGACACTTAATTCTTGCAGTACACATTCTCTATCACAAATCATTATTATGGATGTGATAAGCAACGCCCCCCCCACACACAGTTTTACACAACTGATCGCATCTGGAGACAATGGAAGAGATGGATATATTTGCAGTACATGTTAGCACAGCAAGAGAAATGCAGGAAAAGTGAGTGTGCATTCAATAAAGGGGTATTTATAGAGTCAAAAGTTTAAGAACAGTGAATTTGATATGGAAGGCAAATAACATAGCTGACACATGAAAGTGTATGTTTGGATGAAGATTTGTGCCAAACGCATGTAGAACTTGCATGTACATTAGGAGAGAACAAATATTTTCACATCGTTTAAAATCACTGAGAATGATTCAAAAGAAAGGAAATTGGATTCCATATGAACTGAAGCTGAGAGATATTGAAAGCCAATTTTTCACACATGAAATGTTGCTTGTCAGCCATAAACGGAAAGGTCTTTTGCATCATATAGTCACTGATGATGAAAAACGGATTCACTACGATAATCCAAAGAAATCATGGGGACCACCTGGCCATGCTTCAACATCAATAGCCAAGCTGAATATTCATAGGAAAAAAATCGTACTGTGTATATGGTGGGATCAACTTGGTGTCATGTATTACGAGTTGCTCAAACTAAACAAAATCATTACTGGGGCTATCTACTGAATGCAATTAATGAGATTGAGCCAAGCACCTACAAGAAAATGTGCCCACTACTACTCCAGACATGACAAAATTATTCTCCTCCAAGATAACACTCATTTACATGTTACGGCGGCTGTCAAAACCTACTCAGGAACACTCAAACGAGAAGTCTGCCCCTCCTGCTGTATTCACCAGACATTGCCCTTTCTGATTACTACTTGTTTCGACTGATGATGCATGGCCTGTTTGAGCAGCACTTCACATCATATGAAGATAATAGCTACCAAAAATTGGGTTGATTGGACAGCCTCGAAGATGAAGTGTTGTTCTGATGCAGCATCCACATGCTGGCAGAAAGACAGGAAAAAATAGTGGCTAGCAATGAACAATACTTTGAATAAAACATAACTACCGTTCTTTTACAATACATGCCCAATTTTTTATAAGAAAGGGCGAAGGCTTATTTGTACTCCTGATACTTTACCCATTCTAGCCTGTAGAACTGAACAAATACTTTTATGATTAATTTTCTATGGTTTCTAATTTATTTGTATCATTACAGTTCAAAAACACACTGATTTATTTACTTTTTTTTTTGCTACACCAGCTCCTTGACAATGATATAGTGAAGGATATAAATAATATTTTTCTTTTACTGATCTCATTTTCGATTTTGGTTTTTTTTTTTTTGCCCTTTTCATGCAATTAGTCACTGTGCTTCTTGATATTATTCCAAATGGTATGTTCTGAGTTGAATACAGTGTGATGGAGTTAAATGTTTAATTTTTATTTTTCAATCAATCAATCAATATATGTATTACATATTATGCCACATTTACACTCTTATCACTCCTTTACATTTTATCGATTTATTACTCATACAATTTGATGTTATGCATGCATGTAATGTATGTGTATAGTTATATGTTTGGAAATTATATTTTCAAAATCTTGATTTCCCTTAAGCATAGTTCAATTAAAAATCTATTTCAATAATATTCAACTGCATTTTCTATAACATTTTTCTCTACACTTAGCATTATGTTTCTCAAACTTGCAACATTTTTCTTTCTCTCTCTGGCTAAACCTATGAAATCCTTTCTTTTGGTTAATTTCTTTTTTCTGCTTTCTTTAGGTGTTTAATCCCCATACAGATATTAATAAAAATGCAATAAAGGATAATGATAATAATGCAAAGGAGAAAACTCAAATTTATATTTATCTTACTATCTGAAACCTATATGCATTTGCAAGAAATTTCTCAAGGTTATAACTTCCTAATTCAAATATACTGGACAATTAAATGTTAAAATTTCAAACTGACATTTATTTCAAATAATTCTGATATGTTAAAAGAAATACTAAGTAACTTATTTAAAGCTCACCAGCAGCTGAACAGTAAAATTGCTGAACACTGGTAGTTTGACATAGGTTTGATTTCAGGTGAATGTATTGGTGGGATGGGCATCTTTGTGATTTTCCCCATGTACAAGGTGGACACAAGCCAAGCGCAAGTTTAGAAAGTCCTCCATGACATGCAATCCACCCCTTAGGCAAACGGCCCTTGCATGCTTTGCCATAATCAAATAAACCAAACTTACTTAAACAAAAAATAAGCAAATTTTATGAAAACATTACAAATTTCCAGCAAAATCTTTTGAAGCAAGAAAAAACATGAGAATAAATTATGACAATTCACTTTCTCATTAATTTTTCTTCAACATATGTAGGAAAAAATATAATTTGTATATAAACAATTATAAACTTCTTTATTTCTTATTATAACCTGGCACTTAATGGCATTTTGATTTGGATAAGTTTGCAGCCCCAGAGAAAAATTACTAGAAACTATCTTCACCGTGAACTGCAGGTGCTTATTGGTCCATCAAGTTCTCTTTTCAGATTTATTAATTTTAAATTATGGAAAAAAAAAATCTATTCACATGCATTTAAATGTAGTCCCAAATAAGGCGATTATTTTTATTGCAAAAATTCATAACTGAGGGTATTTATCTTTTCAGAAATTTAAATAAAAGTTCATCAAATCTGTATCTTCAAATTCTTGATAAGATTTCTATCATAATAGTAATTCCTTAAGTCCATTTTTAGACTTTTCCATGGGTACCTTTTATCTTAACGATAATGAAAATAATGTAAAACACTGGACTACAAATCATTAAAACCAAGTCATCTTTCTTCAAATTCCTTCAAATACTTAAATGTTAATTCCAGAATGATTTAAACATAATTTAATTCGCGATAATAAAAGAAGACGTTACTTCATTGTTGTGAAACTTCCTCCAGATTGACAACAAATTCACTATTCTGCTAATTTTCAAATGTAAACAAACGTGGCTGCCATGGTAATCTGAAATTAGGCTTAGCCGCACTTAAATAAACTTTTAAATTGTTGATAATTCCACAATTATTGCATGCAGTTAGAGGGTTCGTAGTGGTCCTTACAAGTGCTTATAAGTTCTTATACAGTTAAAAGTTGTTAATCCGGACTCGTCGGGACTTCGTCGATTCCGGATTATAGGTCATCAGTTTAAATCTGGTAAGATGGCATGCAAATTATAAAATTAAAAATATGAAACCGTAATTTATGAAATAAAGAGCAATTATGATATAAAGGGTATCAAAATTTACAAAAAGAAAGAGCTAAATGTTTATTTGTTTACTTTATTAAACATTTCTTTCAATGTAAGTTGTTTAATTTGCTTTGTTTCATGTGGTAATACTTTCTCTTTAATTCTATTAAACAGACATAATTTCTTGTTCAGTTACAAAGTTCCGCTGTCAAGTCCTATAATTGCCATGTCGAGAATACCGACTAATTTGTCAATCGAAATTTTTTTTCGTTTTCAATAACCTCTGAGTCACTTTCTTCACTATCGGAAGAGAATTATAATGACGAGGAACTTAATTTAAATCATATCAAAGACTGAGTACATCAAGATTAATAAATTAAAACATCTGCCCTGAAGATAAGGATAGTGCTGACAGATCAACTTCCAATTCATTGCGTGCCGTGTTGTTTCCCTCCCCCAACAGAGCAGCGTGAAATTGATAAACATATTTCGGAATGATTAGATAATCAAAGGATATGCCTTTATCCATTTTTTGCAGCAATTCCACTTTCTGTTTAATGGACTTCGAAACATACTTTCGCTTTGTAGATCCTTTGCATATTAGTAAATATATATCGGAAATTCTATTTGACATAATCGCAAGCTTACTTTTATAAAAGCTTATAAGTTCAAGCTTACTTTTATAAAATTGCTCTTACAGTCTGCAAAAAATAATAAGCTGGATCCAATTCGAAGATTAAGGAACAACGCAATCATCAACATTAACTGAAATAGATAATTAGGTAATTTTAGCTTATACCGTTCGGTATACATAAAATGCACATGCGAAAACGTATTCTGTGCTTGCGCACACACATATGCGCAGTTGTAAAGGTCTTACACGCACGCATAAACGCCTATGCGCATGTGTCAACGCGGCGCATGCGCAGAAAGTTTTTAGCTTTGAAGTCCTGATTATAGATCATTCCGGATTATGGGTGTCCGAATTAACGACTTTTGACTGTATATGAAAACCATTTCTTTGGGAAAAATGTATGAGGCTTAAACTTCAATTTGAAAATTTTCATCTCTAATGCAAAATGCCCTACATAGCTAGTCAGAGCATTTGTTCCAGATAAACCGTTATGGCTAAGAACCCTCGAGTGATAGAAAACGTATTCTGTGCTTGCGCACACACACATGCGCAGTTGTAAAGGTCTTACACGCACGCATAAACGCCTATGCGCATGTGTCAACGCGGCACATGCGCAGAAAGTTTTTAGCTTTAAGGTCCGGATTATGGGTGTCCGAATTAACGACTTTTGACTGTATATGTTTAAGAAAACTTTACTTAACACTGGAAAGTATAATAATAACTACTTAAAAAATTCATGTGACAAAAATGAACATAACCTACGTATAAAATAACATAATTCTGTATTTATTTAGATTATTTCCTTCTTTTTTCCTTTTAATTTTATTGCTTGAAAGTCGATAGAAGAAAATTATGCAGTGTGTATCAGTTTTGAGGAAATGGGCAAGGGAAAAAATTACATGATTAAGAATTGTCAGGAAATGAGACATATATATATTACTATTATTTACTGCTTCTATGCTTTTTTTTATACTATATTTTGCTATAAACTGTGGTAAATTCTTTTTAGAAAAAAGCTTAAGCCATTTAATGTAAACATGGAGGTTTGTGTTAATGATGGAATTTCATAACAGCTAAAAAGTGTAAACAAGATGATTATGTGGCATATTTTCAATGCCTGTAGTACCCCACCGTAACAGACACCATTGACACAAAAGCAGTTGGGTGACATTTGATTGCAGTAATTTGCTGTTTCCAGAGAATAAAATGTATCCACTTCCTGAAAACAGGGAACAAACTGAAAATTATGTAATTAAAATCATCAAATGTTTTAAAATCACGTTCCAAACCTGCTTGGGAAAAATTATGTGACAGAAACAAACATGCAAATAAATATCGTATTTGAACAGTTTTATATATGGATCAAATTCGGAATAAATGGTGGCTGAAAACACAACATTTAAGTCAAAAATAAGTATTTCTTCTACTACGAAGCAAGTGGTCAAATTTTAAATATCTGATGTTTAATAGAACATATATCTACTTCTTTATACTAATAGCTAAATCTTTATACTAAGTTAAATCTTATAAATGAAAATATACATCATAAATTAATACAAATAAAATAAAAATAAAAAGATACCTCTAAACATTCTTCCAAAAATACTTTGTTATCCCTTACAGAAAACCTTGATATTTTTGTAATTTTTGTCTCTTCATTTGGTTTCAACGAAAGTACTGTTTCGAAGCACTAGAAGAATTAGAAAATTAATACTTGAAAACACTACATAAACAGTAAATACATATTTACACACACATATATAACAAAATATAATTGTGAGAATGCATATACTGGTTTTAAACCAGAATTAACCAGAACATGCATAATTATGAGAAACATATAAATTACAGATAAATATACAAGCTTTCCAAAAGTTCATTTTCAAGAAAAGGAGAAATGAAAAATAATTTTCCTTTGTTACAACAGATAATCTCTAGACAAAAGAAACTTTTGAAAAGCACTTTTTGAAATCCAGTTCTAATTTTCTCCTTATTTTTGTTACTGCTAATAAGGGAAAACAGCCTTTCCTAACTATTTTTAACGCAGAACTGAAAAAAGGAAAATACAATTTCATGTCTGTTACATACTTTCATTTTAAAGAAGGGGGGTTGCTAATCACACAGCTTTTTAAACTTCCACAGTTTATTGACAAGGAACTGTTCACAGTTAAAAAAAATTTCAATGCATATATTTCAGCCTAAATTTTGATATTATGTCTAGACATCTTTTGCATTTTAGTGCGGCTTGTTAAAAGAAGACATGGACAGAACATATCATAGTACAGTTCAAGAACTAACAGACAAACTTCAGATTTTGAAAAGCAATCAGCATGATAATTTAAGAAAGGCTTATACAAGTATGCAATGTGTACTCTATACTTTGACCACGCAGAATATGCTTGCTTTAATTTTGACTTTAATTCTCTTCTGAAATGAAATGATGAAGCTTCATTTTTTAAATACATTACTAAGTATAAGACACAAATCATTTCCATCAATGTTATGGTTTAAAACAAACGAGACTTGAAAATGGTGACTTCAAAATGTGAATGCCACCTTAAGAAAATCATGTGAAATGTATAACATTACAAAAGAATAATTTATTACAGGCCATCTAAGCAGAACATAAATTTTAATAAATGCTATTATCTGCTGGCAGTTTAGAAGATAAAACTTGATGCAAAATATATGGCACTGACCAATCACCAAAATATTATGTTCAATCATGATAATGTAATGTTCCACATTTTGAAAAGTGTTCAGCAGAAGTTTATTCAATAAAGCAAATGGAGGGGAATTTTGGTTCATTCCTCTTATTCTCCTGATATTGCCCTTTTCAGACTGTCTGTTTAGATTAGTTGAAAATTCCCTGGATAGTGAAAAGAATTCTGCGAAGGATGACAAAAGTACCTTGATAGTTTCTTTTCCAATAAATCAAAAGAATGCTTTGAGAGAGGAATTTTCTGACAGAAAGATGGCAAAAAGTCATAAAATAAAATACAGAATAAATATTTTTTGTTGTTTCCTAATTATTTAATAAAAATTTACCTTAAAAAACCGGAGAAGATTCCTGGAAGTTAACTTCAGCAAATAAAATAGAGTAAAAATATAAAAATAAGTTCTGATATTTCATGGCAATGCCTCAAATGATAATAATGTTAACAAAATTCCTCAAATGACATTTACTCCAAATTTTAACAATATGGGAGAACTTTGTAACTGATAGTCATAAAGTATTGATTATAGTAGAATTATAATAAAACTAAAATAAAATAATAATTATAGCCTTTTACAATTAAATTAGTAGGTAAGACAATGTGAAAATTTCAAGAAATTGCATTAATACAATTTTAATAAATAAAGCATTGCTAGATGTATATTACAGCTTTAAAATGTAAGAAGTTGAAGTTTGACTTTATACACAAAAGGTAAATTTACACCAATTAAATTGGTTACTGTGTTCATTTGTAACAAGATGATTCTTTCTGACTAAATCTATCCCTAGAATTTCTTTGTAACTAGAAGTTAAGAGTTCAAATCCTGCAGACCCCTACTAGATCAATAACAACTTATCAGTATAACTTAAACAACTCATAAAATACTGGAGAAAATTAAAATATCCTTTTCATTTAGTATAGTGTTGAACAGAAATGGAGGTTCTATTTGTGCTACAGAAAAAATTTTCTCTGCTTGTGGAAGTATAAATTAACATAGCAGATAATTAAATTCAAATGAAAATAATGCAGTCTAAGAATACAGATAGAATAGACTATATTAAGTTAATGTAGAATTTTATCTGCACATATTTTAAAACTTCGGCTTACAAAATGCTAAAGCCAGAATAAACCTTAAGCAGAGTTGAACTAAGAGCAAGATCTGGTTGCCAGAAGCTCTAATCTAAAGATTAAGTACACGCAAACATAATTTACATTACGATGAAAAACACAGAAAGGAGGAGTTAGTAAAGTCTTAAATTATTATAAATTATTTATTATAACATACAAATAAGTACAAAAGAAACACACTTATTGAAAATTAAATAAAATTCAATCTTATAAGGTTTAATTTTATTTAGTGTAAATTTTACATATGAAGATTACACTGGTTAAAAAAATGAAGAGAATAGAATTATTAAAAATATCAAAATACATTTAAATTTTACTTTTTTAATAATTAGATATGTTGTTCAATTTGAAAATTTTATGATAGCAAAAATACGAAGAATATAATCACTGTTAATTTTCATGGAAAATTACATATTAATAAATTAATGCAAAAAATATTATCTAAAAATATATTAACCTTATAGGTCAAATTATTACCTCATGGTCTAAAACAATTCCAAAAGAATGAAATATTTTTTCAAATGAAGCATTATCTTTGAAAGTTCCAATTAATCTTCCTTGCTTTTCAGAAGAAATATCTTGAATATGCTTCTTTTCCTAGTAAGAGAAGGAAAAAGAAAGCAATGTAAATTAATAAATGTTTTTATCTAATGAAGGATTTTGAAAATCTTACATAATGAAAACACTGAGCGCTGGAAATAGAAAATAACATTCACTCTCCCACATATGCACGCACAATCAATTATAGTACACTATTTTATAGTTATTCAGAAAAGTTCAAAATATGATATTAGTTTATGAAATTATTGCAGGTTTACCATTCAAACAGGAGAATGAAAATTCCCCGTCTTTTCCAGATGTGTTTTAAGAAAATGCCCATCTATTCGCATAGTGCGCACTGACTGTGCAAAGAGGTAAAACTAATTAATGCTATCACTTGAAAACACAAAAATTTGCCAATTACATATGTCTTATATGTATATAAAAACTTCGAAGCATTACTGTTATAACTATAATAGCTGTTTTCTCTCCACTGAAGATTGAGATTAGAATTGGCCCAATATGGATTAAAAAATGTCTTTTTTTGCAAACATTTTGCAGCTAAACGAAAGAAAGAAATCTATTTAATGATATTTTAAAATAAATTCAGGTATTTTATATTTATTTAGCAGCATAACTAATAGGAAGAAGACACATTAAATGATAAGAATAACATTCAAATAAAGTTAATAACTTAAAGATTAAAAACTGAATTACAATAATCAATATTTTGGCAAATATAGTTATATAGCCTAGATGACTGATTACTATTCTTTTTTTATATATATATATATATATATAATATATATATATATTTTACTGCAAAATGACAATTAAGGTGTTCATTAAAAAGAAAAAAAAAAAAAAAAAAAAGAGGTTTAAAAGATTTTGTGATAAAATACTAGTATAAGTACTGCCTTGGCACGTTTTTGAAAATTGTTGCCAACACCAAAATGACCTGTTTACTGATCATCATAATGTCGCCAAATCCCGCGTGTACTGCATAAGAGGATTAAACCGATTTTGTGTTATACAAGAAAGGGAAGGTATTTTCCTTTGTTCAACATGCACTGCACATGCGCGTCTCTTGATTCTCGATGTTAATGGAAATCAAAGTTGCTGGAAACTTGTTTTGCCTTTCTAAAAGACAATCTGATTGGGGCTGCAAAAATTGGCTCTATGGCCATCAGCCTGAATGACGCTTGTGCAATACATAATTTGTTAGGAAAGTGATCGCTTCCAATGTTGGCGCAAAAGTTGTTTTTTTTTTGGGGGGGGGGGAATTGCCATATGAAATTCAGTGATTTTTCCAGATTTTGACTAAGATACTTAAATTTCCCGACATTTCCATACATATTTTTCCGGGGGGGGGGGGGTCAATTTTTGAATTCCTTGACTTTTCCTGGTTCTCCAGGTAGCATGGCAATCCTGTTATTGTGATTTTATTTAACTTTGTTAATGACATGATTGTGCTGCCTATTAAAATTTTCTATTTCAGTTGTTAAAATTGCTATTTAATTTCAACAAAATGACATTATTTAAATGGCATTTGAAAATTAAATAACACTGATAAATTTAATAATAAAATTTTATACTATGTGTAATGAAAGTACAATCAATGTTTAAATTTAGAGGGGGAAATTGTATATGTCAGGCAGGTTTATTTATGTATTTATGACTATGATTTAGTTCTAAATAGTGAATGCTCACTGTTTTCAGTTGGATCTTTTTGATTTGAAATTGTTGACCTTGTTGAATTCCTAGCAGATATTTTTAAACAATTTACTTATTCAAAAAAGTTAAAGGTTCTTATTCAGTGTTGCTATTTTCTACTTTTTTTAAGACTTAAAGTCAACTAAAAGAGAATATTTAATAATGATAATGAATTGAACTTAATACAAAATTTTGCATATTAACATTTTCTGCAATGCACATGCTGTTAGCTTTATCAATCAACAGTTACTCATCCAAATGTAGTGCTGATATTACATAAAATGTAGAATTAATAAATTTTTTAAACATGCCAATTGTTGACTATCACTCCTGTCTTAGGTTAGCTAATTTATTGCTGTGCAAATTTTAGTTTCCTTTCTTAAAACTGATAAATTTTATTTAAAGATAATCTTTTTCGAGGTCAAGTTACCATTAGTTGTTTAATAGCTCCTTTACCTATCAAGCATAATTTTTTCATTTTCTGCTAAAATAAAAATTTATTTTTTAATGGTCAAATAACTTAAACATCATTTTTAATAGAATTAATGTGAGAAAACATTATAAAGTAATAATATCTTGAAATGTAAACTAGAACTTTTTTTTGAAAGACTTCTGAATACAAGAAAACAGTTTTTTAGTCTTCCATTACCTGTTAGTACCAGTAAACAGTTTTGATGTTAAATGATCCCTTTTCTCCATTTAAAGTAAATTTTAATGAAGAAAATCTGTATCAAAACACTAGCTATTTAAATGGAAATGATGATCTCATGCAATGGCATTGATTACATCAGTAGAATTTCACTGGTTTATACACTGCTGGTATAAGAATACAAAAAGTAAAACCTATTATTTGCTGTTTACATTTACATTATTTTCAATGTATTATATAATGCAAGTATCTTAAAAAAGTGATAAATAAGTAAGAATCATTATGCAGAATTCATATGCTTTCCTTTTTTTTCATTCCCCTCTTTAAAAACAATAAATGTACGTGTATGTGTTACTCTTAAACTATGATATCCATTATTTAAGGAAATAACTGAATAAGTCAGTTAAAGTATGTAATGAAAAATAATTTCACACTTTCACTAGATATTTCATTGAATAACGATCCACATCCTGTAATAGAGTGTAAAGTAATAAACAAGATTTATTCCACTTCTTAACAATTAAATACTATACTGCCATATACAAGGTAATATTAACTAAAGTTCTGAATTCAAAATGCTGTAATGCGAGAACTACTAATCAGAAAAATCCCACTATTTTTAACCCACTAAAAATTTTATATAATAACAAAAAATTAACTTTTATGTTCATATAAGAACTACAGAAAGTATCACATTCATTGCTGAACTTAGTAATTTTTTTGGGGGGGGGACAGCAATGCACATTTTCAACCATTAAGTATTTTGCAAAGTTATTGGCATCACATTCTCAAAACATCATCATTTGGAACCACTATGTTTTGGAAGACAAAATTGTACAGAAGATCTGCAAATTGTGTTTTAATGAGCTGAATGTTTAAAGGGAAAGAGAAAACTCTAAAGAATGTTTGGAAATTCACACTAAAAAGATAAAATTAATCATAGATAAATCTCATTTGGAAGCCTCTGTGGGACTTAAGTCTGCTTCCCAGTACCTGAAGTTGCCACATCTATTTTTAGCTTTTATGAAACTAACCAAAGGAGGAATTTTCCAGTTGGAAACAAGAAATGGTGGCATAAAACAACAATATTCTTGATCCTAGCTCAGCATCTGTGAACAAAAACTGAATTAAGATTGGAGAAGTGCTGGATATAGTAAAATCGGTTTGATCGCTTGTCACTGCTCAAAGTTTAGGCAAATGTAATGTGTCAACCAAAAATGTATTTGCGATAAGAATAATGTTCGTTGTAATTCTAAGCACCATTTTAGTTATCCCCGTTCTAACAAATTATTTTATAGTGTCTTTGTACAAATAACATTTTGTATCAGCTATAATTCAGTTAAACTGTTTATTTTATCTGTCTATGACTTCAACAACTAGTTAAAGTATAGAATTATTTACTTCATACACACTTTAACTGACCTGGCGGTATTCTATAATTTAACTGAATTATACACTTTATAACGCACACACACACACACATATATATATATAGAGAGAGAAAATATACAATATGTGATAGTTAATTACATTATTTTGTCATATCAAGCAGACTCTTTTAGGGAAATAGCAATGTAAATCCTTGACTATCAAGTATTTTGCAAAATTATTTATGTAAATTATAGACCATGAAAATTTTCTGACATTTCATTATATCCTCCATATACTTTGTCATTTTGTTCATAATAAACTTACTGCCCTAACTATAATCATCATTATTTTATATGAATTGAAAAAAACTGTAAAAAAGCTAAATATAATAAATAACACAGTTAACTATTACCAAATCCAAAAGCAAAAATATCAACACAAACTAAAAAAAGCAGAAAGCAAAGTTACCTCATCCTTTTGTTTGCGTGATGATAAAGAACCTTTCTGAGGAGGTTTCTTCGGCAAGAGAAATCTTGTAGGAGTTCCAGCATTACTTGATGGAGGTTCACTCTCTTTACTTTCTTTATGACTTTCAGTAACACCTTCTTCATCTATAACACACAGATTACACACATATATAGAGAGAGTTGCGTATAACATTTTTTACTTGAAGAATTAAAATGAATAAGGAAAGGTTGTAACGATTAATACTTTAAAAATTTACAGTCTCGTGCAAACCAAATGACTTCAAAGTAAAATATATAACAGGCATAAAGAAATAGCAGATCTTTATTTTAATGAAAAGCAGCCTGCATTGAAACAAGCATTAGTTATGTGCATTTTTGAAGTACAGTGGTAATTTGTAACATATTACTGCTCTGTTGCACACTATTTTAACAATCAGCAACTTAATATTTTAATCATTTTAAAACAATTTCAAAATGTAAAGTTATCATCAAAGTAATAAACAAAATACAAATAATTTCATTTCTTTGGTTTCCTGCTGTTATTTTCATGATAAATAAAATCTACAAGGATACCAAAAGACACATGTACCATTGGCACCATGACAAAGCAAAAGTATCTTCAATTTTACAGAATGGCTCTGCAAATAGGCAATGAATAATCCAGATTGTATCTAATGGGTTAAAGGATTTAGAGCTAAGTATGATCTTCACATGCTGCTTCTCATAAGCTGATTCTGAAAAAAAAGTTAAATGCTAATTTTTAAGTAAGAGACTTATTCCAAAATAATTTCCATATCTCCATCACACTTTCTTCAAAGCCTGAAAGCCAAAAAGCTTTAAATAATTCAGAGTGAGAAAATGCTTTGAATATAGATCCCAAATAACAGATACTATTCTATTTTTCTCTAAAAAATCTACCGAGATTTTCAATAGCAATAAAAAAAGGTCAAATTTCATTAATTATTTAAACCAAACACAAAATGATCCATGAATGAATCAAAATTAATTCTTTCCATTGAATTTAAATTTACTACTTCACGTCTTACTTCAAGGATTAACATTTCATAATGTACTTAATTTACTGAGTAGCAGTATCCAAACTTATAATAAAATTTCCAATGCAACCAAAATTTCTGACACGAAAAAAAGCAATAAAAGAGAATGACACTATTGTTTACTTCCAGCAGCTAAAATATACCAGTAAGTTATATGTTAATATATAGATATAGGTATATATTAACAAAGAATGAGTAGAGAAAACATTTCATACCTAATGATTTGGAAATCTCAGATTTGTATTCTTTAATTTGTGCTTCATTTACTGAAGAAGTGGATATTTTTACAAACAACTGGGAAACCTGAAAATAAAGAAAGAGAACTTTCATTATGCAGTTACTTAGCACAGCATTGTAAAATAATTAGTATCAATGTAGATAATATGATACTACTGAATCACACTTTTCTACATGAATTTAAGCGTATTCACTAAAAAGGAAGAAACTTACAGAAAACCTTTCAAAAGTTTTATTATAGTTTAGACCAATTATTATTAGTGTTCTACATAATATTTGCAAGTTTACATAAATGAATCACTTAACAAATTTAGAAATGAGCTTATTTGTTGCACCAATTTTATTTATTATTTTTTTTTTAAAGACAACCAACACTTTTATGTGAATGCATATATCAGATGTTCTTATTAAAATAACATTAAGTTCCACTATTTCAAAATGTAGTTTACTTATTCAATCAGGTTATACATAGATACCAGACAACTATCAAAATGAAAGTCTTGGATATAAAATTCAGTCATAAAGAGACAATACATAATTATAGTACTTATATGGAAGATTATGCTTCCATTATAGAAAAGAAAAAAATTATGCAATCACTGAATGTTGGCAATCAATTGCAAGAGTACGAAAGACTGTGTTTTTAATACATTTAATGTTTAATTATAAAATATGATGCACTCAGCTTGATTTTTCTGGCTGAAAAACAGTAAGTACTTCATAAAGCTGAAATCATAAAACCAAAATTCCATTTCCTCTTTTAAACATTCAATTAAACTTTATTATATAAGCTAATTTTTATGGATTAATAACCCATCTTTAGATAAAGTTTAAAATTTTTGTTTTCTCAAAGCTTCTACTCCATGTTTGAGTCAATACTTAAAGTGGAAAGAAGTAGTTAGTTCTTTATAATAGATATTCATAGAGAATCAGTTAACAGCCTTGTTTTTTTTTTTTAATTATAAATTAAAATTTAAACTACTAATGAAACAAAACAAAAATCAACTATATATTGCTAGATTGGTATCTTAAAGTTCTATGATAACAAATGTATATAGATATATGGTGTTTCAGCAAATCATTTACAAACTTTCAGGAGAGACAGAGTAGATCTAGACAATGGAAATACACACAGCAGTGCATGGTTGGAAATGCTTTGCTGACGCAGCAGTGGCGACACAAAACACAAGAAAGAAAAGATACGAATAGGGTGAGAATAATGTTTATTATGCTTAGTGCAGCAGAAACCAAGAAATTAGATTAAAAACAGACAGTCATCATCAAAGGTGCTAGAAATTATGACCCAGACCGTGATGCAGGAACTGTGCGTCATGCACCATTCATGCACTGGAAATGTGAGGCCTGTATCATGGTCCGAGGTCGTAATTTTGAACACCTTCTCTAATGATGAGCACTGTCTGTTTTTGTTCTTATTTGTCAGTTTCTGCTGCACTAAACATAATAAAACATTTTTGTGTCCTTCCCTTTTTTTTTTTTTTTTTGTTTTTGTTTTTGTTTTCTGTCATCACTACCGCACCAAGAAAGTGTTTCCAACCAGGCATTGCTATGGGAGTTTCCATCTGTAGGCGCACTCTGTCTCTCCTGAAAAGTTTGTAACTGACTTGCTGAAATATCCTGTATATCACTAAACTATCTTACCTTCAAAAACAAGACAATCTAAGATTGAAAATTTGCTAAGCTAGACACAAATTTTTTATAAAATATTTTTAATTTTGAGGTTTTGACTATCTGTGATACACAGTATATTAAATTCCAATTAGAAATATTGTGCTTTGTAAGTCACAGGTCTATTGATATAGTTTATTATAACAATAATTATAATCGTTACCACACCTTACTTCTCTGCTTTTAATTCACTGGAAGGTACTGTAGCCTGTTCTACACCCCACCTTTAAAAAAAAAGTGGAATATCCCCAAACTGCAAAACTAAAATCTTCTAATGCATCGATAACTAAGTTTCTACATATTGTTGAACTTCAAAGCAGGTGTACAATTGCACATGCATTTAGAAAAGGAGCTACTAGCATTTCATTGAATTCGACAGAATATTTATTTCAGAAATTTACCTCTAGCATGTATCAGAGTAAAAGTTTTTACTTGCCAGCCTTAATAAGCTTTACAGGATTTAAATTTATATTTTAAAGTTTTTCAAAGTGCATTATGACAAAGAAAACGAATCCATATGAATTGGAGAACAACTGAAGACTTATTAGAATCAGTGGAAAGTGATGAAGACTGCATATTAGAAAGTGAAGATCAGATTGACAGTGAAATTTCAGTAAACATAACTCAGACACAGAAGTTGATGATGAAATATTCAAGAATAATATTTCTGAACTAGATGATTTTGTACAATGGGGGGGGGGAGATTATGCAAAATGTATTAATCTGTTTGCTTAATATTATGACTCATCTTCTATGATCTGTAAGAGAACTGAGAAATTTCATTGATCCATTCAGTAGTTGGAATATGCTTTTTGATAATTCAATATTATCAGTGATTGTAGAATGCATGAATTTATATATTTCTGAAACAGTTTCACGTTATAAATATGAAACAGACAAAAAAAATTATGGATATGGTTGAGGTGAAAGTTCTTAGAGGATTTTTTATTTATGTGGCCTTCATATTTTATGAAAATGATCTTTGGGCCATTCATGATATAAACATTGAACTTTTTCACATGACTATGCCCTACAAATAGTTTTTATTTCATTTATGTTGCATGCGTTTTGATAATTTGGTAGACAGCTACAGAGGAAATACTTTGATGAAATAACTGCAGTTAGATATTTGCAAAAAAATGTAAAGATTCTTATAGCTGAGGGCAGCTCATCACTATTGACGATACAATGAAAATCTTTTGTGGCCAATGTGAGTTCCGACAGTATATGCTGAACAACCCAGTGAAGTGTGGAATCCAGATATTTTCCCTAAAACTTCTTACACTTCTAATATGGAAATACACTGTACACAGCCAGATATTCCCTATAAAGTCAGTAATAGTCCATCTGACCTAGTTAGAAAAAAACAAAACTGAAAGCTTTCAGGTTTTACATTACGCCCAAAGGGACTTTTTTGAACGTTTTGTGTGCTACTTTCATGTTCTTCGCACTTAAACCATAAAATTCAATAGCAATATAAATAATCTTAAAAGGAGCATGTCTTTCGAATTTTTGATACAGTCTCACACACTGGAGATAAAAAGTGCACCCCCCAGTACAGTGTTGCCATTGCTCACTTTGAAATCATTGAGTTTGTTAATCAATAATTCATTAAAGTGTTACAAAATATGAAATTGATAATAAGACAAATTTTAAATTAAGGTTTCCAGATGCCCATATTCGGAGGAGAGTTACATTATTCAAAATTTGATGGCTCTAGGTACCGTTGTTTTATCGCGATGTGAGAAACATACATATATTTACCCACATTCATTATTTAATTTCTTTAAATATAATACAGGAACCTAATATTTGGTGGCAACAATTTAAAAAGTGATTCACCATTTATAGTGAATCGACACAAAATGCCAAAATGAAATTACTAAATTTCGTAATGGTATATCATTTTACTGCAAAAATTAAGTTTCACAAGTATGCCACAAAAAACTGCCTGAAATTTGAAATTAACTAATAAATAAATTTAGAAGGAAGAAGAGTCATTAAATGATATGAATAGCATTAAAATAAAATTAATTACTAAAGGATTAAAAATTGAATTATAAAAATAGACAGTATTTTGGTGAATATAGATATATTAAATGATTAGCCTAGATGATTGTTTATTATTTTTTATTTTACTGCAAAATGACAAATAAGGCATTTAAGAAAGAAGAAAAGATTTAAAGGATTTTGTTTTATATGTGAATGAGGACAATTTACTTCCAGTGCATGCAAATCTCTGGATTCCCCAGGTTACTGGAAACCAAAGATGCTGGAAACTTGCTTTGCCTTTCTAAAAGACAATCTGATTGGCGCTGCAAAAGTTGGCTCTACGCCAGCTGTCCAAATGATGCTCATGCGATACATGATTCACCAAGAAAGTGATTGCTTCTGACAGTAAGAAAATTGCTTTTTTGGGGATCGCATGATATTCCCAGACTTTTCCAGATTTTGATTAAAACATTTAAATTCCCTGACTTTTTTGTTCATTTTCGAATTATTTGACTTTTCCCGGTTTTCCAGGTAACATGGCAACCCTGATAGGAGTTACTAGCTGAAGATATAGAACAAAAAGCTGCCAATTTGGAGAAACAAAAGAGAAGATACCCATGCTTTTGTTACTTTTAAAGGAAGAGATATATTTTCTGCACTGTTTAGCTTTCCAAAAGATAAAACATTAATTTCTTATGTTCATAAGAGAAGAAAAACAGTTCTCATGTTTTCAACATTGCCCCCATACTGATGATGTAATAGATTATACTACTGCAGAAAAGAAAACACCTGAAATTATATCTTTTTATAACATGACTAAAAGAGCAGTGGATATTTGGATGAAATGGTAGCAAATTATTCAAAATCCCAGAATAACTAGAAGGTGAACGATCTTAATTTTCTCTTCTGCATTGAAATGCTGCAATGTTCAAATCCTATTGTTTTCAACTCCTAATCCACCAACCAAATACAAAAACAGATATCTATTCTTGAAGTATTTAGGATTATAGCTAATGAAACAAAGGACAACAGTCGAATCGTACAGTTTCGAGATAAGATTTCACATGCTCCTGCATGCAAAAGAATAGCTATTGTTTTAAACAAATCCCAAGAATTCAAAAACACTACATATAAAAGATGTGTGCGATGCCCTCAAGACAAGGACAGAAAAAAAAAAAAAAAAAAAAAAAAAAAAAAAAAATCTAATGAGAAATTTAAAATAGGAAAAGTTTCTACACCAAGAATACTTGAATGTATTTTCTTCAAACTGTTTATTATTTTATTACTGAATTTTATTCACTTTTCTAAATAAATAAAAAGATTTAAAACTAAATAAAACTACTTTTATTATATTTTAAGCACTGGGGTAGGAAATACTTTGTGACGACTTAAGTATCTTTTCATGACACACCTCCCCATGGGTTAAATTATTTCTATTGCCATTAAAGAGAAAATCTAGTATTTCTGTTTAATTATCATGAAAATAATGACTTCCCTCAATTATGCTTTTCAGAGGCAAAGAAATCAAACAGCTTTCAACTTGCTATATTTCGAGTAAGATAGTCTTGAAAAATTTGCTAGAATTAAATGCAGTGTTTTTCACCTTGCATAGAAAATATATATCTACTTGTTACAATAAAAATTTCATTGTATACGATAATTTTTTTACACAGATTCACTCATGAAACTGCTGAATTTCGATTTGGTTAAAGACTATTATTGGTTTACAAATTTAATATGATTTAGGGAACCCGAAGTTATTAATTTGGTATAATATTTTGATATCTACATAATAATTTTCATTGCATGATCAGTATTATTAAGAATTTAAGGCTTGCATGGGTGATTTTTTTTTTCAATCAACAAACACTAAAATAAGATGAAAGTTTACATTTAGTGCCAAAACATTTCTGAAGAAGAGACACTGTGAGGCTACGGAATTCCTATCATGATACAATATCACAAACTCAATGCTAAAAACAAACCAGCTAAAAAATTTTATGAGAGATAAAATGCCATAGTTCAAAGAAACATGTTCAGAAGAATGCTTAGAAATAAAACATTTAGCCCAGTTTGTTATGCAGAAAAGCAAACCAGCATGGCTGGGAAAGATGAAACTTTACCACTGAAAAAGCAAGGCAAGACCAAGGTAAAAATAATAATAATAATAATAATAATAATAATAATGGTAGACTATCAATGCAAAAGATGAGAGAAAACAAGGACACATAGAACAAGTAAATTAAAGTCTTTTAAGACATGCCTGTATGCAATCAAAACAGCAAATACCCAGTGATCATCTGAATGGAAACCTTGAATTTATAATCAAACAGAGGACAATTAAAATAAGACCTGACCTCCAAAGGAATCTGAACAGTACCAAGAAGAATTTCAAAAGTAAAAAGTGCACATGGAACTAACAAAAGAAAAAGGAAAGTGATGACTTGAGCAAAATGGCTAAGTGATTTTTTTTCATTCAAGCTTTAAAATTACATGAAATTTGGTCAAATGAAGTAAAGCACAAGCACAGTTTTGAAATAAATTGTTGTTAACATAAATAATTTTTTGTATTTTAAACTACTTTAATGGTTTAATTTCATCAAAATTTTGGATAGAATATCCATGAAAATGTTTTTGTCTTGTTTAGAAAATTAATTATGTGTTTAAAGTATATTTCTAAATTTCTTACTTTATGCCTTTAATGATAAATTTTTTGCAGCTTAATGCACGAAAATACTAGACATGTTTATATTTCGTTTTGCAATTATGAAATATATATATATACTCTAAAGAACAGTCATAACTGACACAGTAAGAATTAAAAAAGAAAAGAGAGGTACCTGTGCTAAAGCTGCTGCACCATAATAAATTCATAATAAAGTAGAAAGTCAGAACGTAATTTAAATTTGGTCAAAAGAAAATTTTTTTTTAAAGGTCACCCTATTTCTCTCTCCGGGAAATAGTTACAAAAAACGAGTAAATGCGACAAAAAGGTGCAAATAAAAATGGAATTGTTTAAAGATAATTACAGAATTTGTGCCTATAAAATTCAAATTGCAGTAAAAATGGCATCAAAAATTAATCTCCTCTGTTTAATGCTTCAAGCAGAACTTGTCACGGAAAAAGTGTTTTGAAGCCTTAAACCAAGTTGATTAATGAGTTCCGAATACGTTTCATTCCTCTGAACCATCTGAGACATTAAACCGCTTTTCCATTTCTTAAAATTAAGATCTTTCCCATACTCAAAGCAAACAAAAAATATACAAAAGTTTACACTCAAAAATAATATACAAATGCTTAAAAGTAGCATAAACTAATGAAATACAGACAAAACAAATGTAATACAGTACAAAGTCCGAAATCCAGATGTCCATTATCCGGAATGATCTAAAATCCAGACCTCAAAACCATTAAAACCGTTTTTCTCGTAGGCATTATGCATGCACATTTGATTCCCCCTCAGTGCATAATAAAACATCTGGAGAGTCCCGATTCTTAATTCAGAGTTTGTACACATTTCTGCACAGGGAAATTAAGTACTTTTAAAGACCATTAATGAAAAAAATTGAGGATCTATGAGCAAATGGGAGACTGAATAAATTCAATTAAAAATATTACTCTACGCCCGAATTTCACTTTTGTAATACCATCCTAAAAATATAATAGATCCCTAAGTAGTATGCATTATTACTAAACATGAATTAATTAACATAATTATTAATAAGTTTGAGAATAAAATCAACTTCACTCAGTTTATCAAGTTGCATTAAATATTTTACACTTATAATAAGTTGGACATATTTGAAAAAAGATAAGTGACATTTACATTTTATTAATAGCTTTATGTTGATTTTTTTTTTTTTTTTTTTTTTTTTTTTTTTATGTCTCATTTTGTCACATACTTGGTCAGTCTAGAGCAGAGGTTCTCAACCGGTGGTACGCAAGAAAAAAATAGCTGGTACACGAAGTATTTTTCTATAGAAACTGATCTTAAAATCGCCAAAATGTTGACAAGTCGCCAAATTTAGAACCGTTTAATAAATGAATTCACATCCCCAAAAGCAAAAATTGTTTAAGAACTCTTTATTACAAAAAATTAATTTCGAAACGCTAAAGTTCCACTTCTTGCTTAGAAACCCCATCATTTATATTAGAAACAGAAACAAATTATAATCTATGAACCCATTCAAAAGAAAACCATATACGTTAGTGAATCGCCAAAAATATTCCTCCAAAATGCTAATTCGCACTCAAAATGGCAGTTGTAAAAACAGACAGAAATTTCAGATAAATTAAAATTAAGGACTTCTACTGATTTTGGCCAAAAATTAAGGGCTTTTAAGGACCAAGAATCGATTCCAAAAAATTTAAGGACTTTTAAGGACTGTACGAACCCTGTTAATTTCACTTCAACACTAACTAAAATACCTTGTTATTAAAGAAACAATCATTTTAGCATAAATTTGTACAATCAGTAATTTGGCTCCGTTGCTGCGTATCTGCTTTGGCACACATCTCAAACCGAAACATTCCACATAGATACATCGTTGACCTGATGCCAATCTGGTGAATCATTATTTATTTTACTTTTACTTCATCACCGCATATTTATCAAAACATGACTACTTGAGTAACGACTCATGCAGTGATGCCTAAACAATTTTTTTATATTAATAATAAAGGAGTATGGTAGCCTTTTATGCTCACATTACGCTTGGAAATTAATTACGGATTTAAGTTAAATGTTGACAAGGAAAACTTTAACATTTTTTTTTTTTTTTTTTAAATATGCTAAAAAAATTGGTTCTCCCAAAAGAAATTAATGCATTACATACAACTTTCAGTGACAGAATAATATACATTATCCACATAAAAGTGCAAGAAAATAATCATAATCATTCAAAAGAGTACAAAATAAATTAAAAAAATAGTTTACACATTGAATATAAATTTGGATCATAAATAAAAAGGGGGAAGCAGGGAAATTTGCACGTACGGTTATATAAAAATAGATAAATAAGTACTCCTAAAATAATTTTTATTCCCAAACTAACTTATTAAAAAAAAGAATTGATAAATTAAATTATCAAGCACTATTACTTACTTTAAAATTTTACTCAGGTACATAACATGACTTTTTTTTAATGTAATATACTAGTTGAAACAAGATGCTTTAAGAATTTGTATTATAATATTTTCAATCGACTTACTATTGCATTTTCTTCCTTAGATGCAGATTCAAGTTCAACCCCGGATTTCATCTCATCATCGGATTTAGTTTGAATTTCAACATTTGATTCAACATGATTTTCAACTTTTGATTCTTCATTGCTTCCTTCTTTGTTTTTTCCAGCAACAAAAGAGTCTTCACTGACTTTATGATCATGTGAAGTTTGATCAGCATCTTTGTTTTTGTTATCATTTCCCCCAAGAACATCAGAAGTTTTAGTGGGCTCATCAGGAATATTTGCAGATAAATCAACGCATGAACTATCTTCTGTTTCAGTAGCTGCAGGTTCAGGGTCTTTTATGGTATGAGATTCACTAATTTCTTCTACTTTTGACAGCTTTTCTTCTTCAGATGGTTGGGTATTCTGAGAATTGGCAGAAGAGGCTAATCGGAATGTTGCAAAAGATGTTTTATCTTGTGCCTCAGAAAGACAAGACTGACTCGGTTCTACTTCATCATCACTTTCAATTTCTTTGTCACAAGGATTTTCAACAACAGAATTTGAGTGTACTTCTTTGTCTTCCAGTGCATGTAATCCACTTTCTCTAAGGGAATAATTTACAAGGTAAAATTAAACAAACATATACATGTTTTATACATGTATATTTACAGTTTATATAACAAAAGGTGGTTACAAATTTTATTTCTTCAAATACTGATCTATACAATAATATTAATCATGAAGCTTGTTATTAATTTTCCTCAAAATTTTTTCAAAACAGTTTCAGTATTGGAAGAGGAAAAGCACTGTAGATATAAAGTTTCTAGAGTCATTAGGTTATATCAACGTAGGAAACTTGAAAAATGTGTAGTGATGGGCAACTTCGGTACTTTCTTGTACCCGGTACGAGAGTAACGGGTACAGACAAGTACCCGGTACAAAATACCCGTTACTCAAGTAACCGTTACTTTGAAAAGTACTGAAACTGATTTCAAGTACCGCGTACCCAAGTAACGATTTGGAGAGTACCGAAGTAAGAAATACGGAGTAACGGTTTGCTGTACCGGAGTACCCTAGTAACGATTTGGAGTACCGAAATACGCAGCCCGATTTGCGCATGAAGAACTTGCCACGTTTACACATGTTTGATTTTATCTGTACGGAGTAAGATTTTGAATATAGAAAACATGTCACTAGAAGTGTCTGAGGAGGAGCAGGCAATTCATGGACAAAGGAGTGCATATACCATTCGCAAATACAACCAGATACTACTGTCCTCGTACCAAAACGAATTGAAGTGAACCCTCATCGATCCTCCAGTACGATACCGAAATACCGAGAAGAGACGCATTTTTTCGTTAGAAAGTAGCGAATACCGAAAAGCATCCGTTTTGGTACAGAAGTAACAAATACTGAAAAGTACCCGTATCGATACAGAAGTAACGAATACCAAAAAGTACCCGTTTCAGTACAGAAGTAACGAATACCGAAAAGTACCGATTTCGGTACTGAAGTAACGGGTACTTGGACGTACCGATTTTCAGTACCCGTTACAAAATACCCGGTTCAGTAGTACCGACTCATCACTAAAAATGTGCAATGCCTTAGACAGGATTTGAACTGTGGACTTCCCGGTTATGCATCGGACATGCTTCCAGTTACATCTCAAAGGCATGTGGAAAGAATGGAAAATATATCTTATAAGTTAAACTTGTCGTCACCCATTTACATAGTTCCCAGTAAGTAAAAATTCAAACTAGTGAAATATTTATCATGCCTTTAGTAAGCTTCATTGAAAATGTACCACATCTTGATGGTTCTAGGAAAAAAGGCCTCAGGAATAATGCTCACAGGGACAAAGCCCACATGGGAAAATGTTCACTTAGAAATAAGCCCACTGATAAATAATTCATGTAAAAATATCCTTACCTTAATCAATCAGTAATCAATCGATTTGATCATAGTATGCCTACTTGAATTTTTGAAAGGAAAATTATTTAAATTACCAAAACATCTATGGTATGTATTTAAAAAAACTGTATAACTATATAAAAAACTGTTACAAGCAGATTAAATTGCTATGTAAGATTAAAAAATGTGCCATTTTGAATTGAGAAAAGGAGAAGAGGAAGGAAGTAAAAAAGAAACAGAACATACAGTGAAAAATTATTAAAATTTTAATTGTTAAAAAAATAAAATAATAGTAAATATAAGTTACACATTATGTAACATAAACATTTAGAAGAATAAACAAATAGAAATAATTATTTTATTTAAATTACATAAAATACCTTATTATATATATATAAATTATAAATATATATTTCAAAAAGTTATAAATACATAAACTTACTGAATATTAGCTAATATACGTAAATATCTAATTTTATCATTGATTTCATCATAGCTTCATACACGATTCACGATCACCAAATGGAAGAAAAAAAATGAAGAAGCAAATATTCCAGTTTTATATGGCTGGTTATAAGAAAATGCCTAAGCATACTTTTTTTTTATATACTATCTAAAGCATAAAATACAATGATTTCAAAAAAGTAGACTTTCATTTTGTAAGGCTGAGTTTAACATTATACTAGTTCAGTTACAGCATTATGCAGTTTACGCATGCAGTGTTATATTTGTTAAATTTTTGATAAAATAAATACTATTGAGTTTAAATCACTTTCAAAAGCTTTTTTCACATACAAGTATGTTCAACTGAGTGGCATCAACAAAGCACATGAAAATGTTAATTTTATTTCTAAAATTTTAAAATTCTGCAGAAATTTTAGAACTGTTTTGGCTCCAAACTTTAATAACTACAATCAAACATCAATTTCTATCAATACACATCAAAAGTATGCAACAATAAAAGTAAAAAAAGGAAAATTAACAATTGACAGTTAAAAAAAAATGTCGTACAGGGGCAGTGGTATAAAATATTAGAGTACATGCAAAATTTTACTACAGTTTTCATTCTTTTATATACCGCCTCTAAAAAGGTTAATGTGAGCATATTTCAAAGTGATTATTTTTCCATGTGAGCTTTTTTATTTCCATATGGACTTTTATACCTGTGAGCATTTTTCCAGTCATCCATCTTGATAAATGCTAATCTCCACAGATACCATGCATTTTATAAGGCTAGCCAAATATTTAATAATGAATGCTGTTTTAAACAATGTGGAACTATTATTGTGCCTTCACATCCAAATTTGCTTTAAAACAGTTTCCAAGTGTCATAAAAAATATAAAATTTTGCTGAATGAGATGTTGAAAAGTGATCCAATTAGTAAATTTACTCTCATATAGGAACATGAATTTTGAATATAAAACTATGATACATTTTGTCTTTTAACTTATTAAAGTACTATGAATGATTTATTGATAAGAATTTTTGCTTTAGAGTCACATATAAAATCCAACTTTTTTTAAGAAAAAGGTTTGATGTGAAAAACTAGTGCTCTTTGTTTCAGTTTATAGAACCTTCTACAAGCAGCGCTGAAATTGCTTTAACAAAATTCCTTGTTTATAAAAATTTTGTAAATGGAAATATATATATATACACAAGATCAAAATCAGTCTGTGCAAGCATTTTTTATTAAAGAAGGCAAAAGTTACACATTGCAAGGATATTATTAAATTTGCGTAAAATAATTACATACATAAATATGGATATAAACAAAAACAAAAATTCATTTTTAGCAATAAAATGCCCAAATGTTCTACAAATTAATTGGACCATATTATGTATATCCTGCATCATCCTTTACACACTCATTTACATATCATATTTACTCACATTTTTCTTCCCTTTGACGAAAACCTCTAATTTCTTCAGCATATAGTTTAGATACTTATCATTTGTGTTCAGAAAATGGAATGCATAAGTGTACAGCAAAGGCCTACTAAAAATCAGCTTTACATAAACTGGCTTCGTATAAAAAGTTTACGTAGTTTGAGGGTGACTGATGCAAATCCTTCTCCATTAAAGAGCAAAAATATCTTGTAGCCTTCATTCTATAAAAAGTCTGTCTTCTATGAATCATATAATGTTCGATTTTCCTTTATCTTAAATTACAAATTTCTGTTCTGCATTTGAAAGGCCAAATCATGATACCAGGATGTCTTAGCAAAAGTAGCTTTCAAGCAGAAATGCTGACACATTGTTCATGGAATTCTAATTAATCTGTAATAGGGATTGGTCAAAACAGTCAATACATTGAACTAATTAGTCATAGTTGAGCAATATCTCATTGACACCAATGGCATCCAGGCCAGAAAGGGAAAAATCATTAGCGGTGCAGTTTCTTCTGCCAACACCAACAACAACAACAAAAAAAAAAAAAAAAAGGTTTGAGAGCGTGGCTTTGAAAATTTTAATAGAAGAAAGTACCAAACCATCAGCTTCATGAACAAGCTGTGATCCCGATCATATCAGATGAAAACTCCTTGAGAACAACTGGTCCATAAAAACCAAACTTAAAAGATCATCTATTTTACAATCCAAATCTGAAATAATAACCAGTCTTGATCAATGCAGCTTTTCAATACTCAAAGATAATTTACTCTTCAAAACTAATCCCACAAAAACCGGAATTTGTACTAAGCTCATTAAACCATTCTCAAAAAGAATTAATAACTACTATAACTTGCAAAGGCAAATAAGCACACAAACAGGCAAATAATATTTTTATTAATTTTGAAACATATTGTTTAGCACAGAATACTAGCAGAAAATCTATAAATATGCCAAATAAAATTATTACGAATTAGACAAATTATACAAATATCATTCTTAATGTTGTTAAAAAAATTTCGTATATATGTAAATAATTTTAGTGAAATTATATGTGAAATTTTAATATTTTTTGTATAATATAACGTGAAATGCTTGAAAGAAACTTAGCTCTGCCAGAAAAAAATAAGATTACAAGATAGTTATTTACTCATTCAACATTAAGTAAATAGCTATCTTGATAAATTGGCAAAATATCACCAAGCTGAGAATGGATTTAGCAACTAATTTTCATCACCAAATTTGATGAGAAATCACCAAAGTCCACCTTGGTGACCTTTGGGTACAATCCCTGTATAACTACAACAGGTCGACGTACACATACAATGCTCCCAAGTGTAAGCATGGATATGCAGAGCAAAACTGGCAGCATGTCACATTTCCTAACAGGACATGGACCGCACAAAGCCTATCTGCATAGGTTTGGTCTATCCAATGCAGACACCTGTGACTGTGGG